ACGACAAGATGATGAATTCAAAAGGGAAGAAAATAAAAGAAGAGCAGAAGCTCTAAAAATTGCACGACAGGATGCTGAATTCAAAGAAGAAGAAAGAAGAAGAAATGCATTAAGAATGCATAGTAATGTGTCAAAGAGAAAAACAGATAATGCTCCAATTACGGAAAATTCTGATGATGAAGATGTTACTGAAAATGAAAATGATGAGAAAATTACTGCTTTGCGGATGAAAAATGGAAAAGGTTGGATCAAAAAAAGAACAAAGAAAAAAATAATAAGATACAGATACTTTAAGCTACACCAAGATCCTGAAAATTATGATAGAGAGTAGCTGATGCTATTTCTACCATGGAGTAATGAAGAAGAAGATCTTCTTTATATAAATCATGAAGAGACATTTGAATTACATAAAGATATAATTCAACAGAAAAGATCTGAATATGTTCATCGTGAAGCCAGTGAATTTGAGAAAGCTTTTGAAGAGCATATGGAAAGAGAAAATGAGAATGATATTGATGATACAGATATTGAATATGATCAAGATAAGAATGAATTCCTCATTTATGAAATAGGAAATAATGAAGGCGATATCTTTGTCGAAATGGGACTAAAGACCCAAACTGAAAAAGTTGAACATTTTAATGTTCCCAAAGTAATACCAGATACTGAATATCAGCAAATGATGAGAAGTCTCAATAACAATCAAAGACGATATACTTTAAATGTGATGAATTTGATAAAAAATGGAGATAAACAATTTTTTCATTTTATTAATGGCGGTGCAGGTGTTGGTAAAAGTACTTTGATCAAAGCAGTATATCAGTCGATACTGAGATTCTATAATTCTCTTCCTGGATCTAATCCAGAAACTATTCGTACCCCAATCTGTGCGCCAACTGGCAAAGCAGCAGCACTAATTGATGGAATGACGTTGCATTCATTTTTAAGTTTACCAGTTAATCAATGCAAACATAAGCTCGTTCAGTTAAATAGCGATATTTCGAATAGAATAGGAGTGAAATTGAAAGACTTGCAATTATTAATAATAGACGAAATATCAATGGTTGGTTTTACGATGTTTCAGCAGGTAGATGCACGCTTGCAGCAAATAATGAGGACAAAAAAGCCATTTGGTGGAATATCAGTCATGGTTTTAGGCGATTTCAATCAATTAAGACCAGTTGGGGATAAATACATATTCCAGTTTAATAATTCATATAATGCTTTAGTAGATAATTCATTATGGTCACTATTTGAATTGTTTGAATTGACAGAAATAATGAGACAAAAAGATGATAAGACTTTTGCCATTGCATTAAGTAATATAGCCAAAGGAACGATGACAGCTGAAGATATTCATCTGTTAAAGTCACGAATTGTTTCAACTGAAAATTTGGAAATGGTTGAGGATGCAATAAGAATATTTAGAAGTAATGCTGAAGTTGATTCATATAATAGAATAGTATTGGCTAGTCTTAATACCGAAGGTGCAATCTCTAATGCATATGATTTTTGTGTTGGTGATGGACTTGCATCAATAAGAGAAAAAGTTTTAGACAACGTAAAGAATTTGAAAACAACTGAAACTTACGGTTTACCACTTAAAATTGATTTGAAAGTGGGCCCTAAGTATATGATGACAGTGAATATTGACACTGAAGATGGATTAGTAAATGGCGCCTGTGGAAAATTGATAATGATTGATTATGGAAAACTTCAAAAGACAAATGAGACAGTACCATGTCGATTATGGATTCAATTTAGTGAAGAGAAGACTGGAAGAAAGGCTAGAGCTAACTTTCATAATGTAATGCGAAATAGAAATATCGATCTCAGTCTCACACCAATTGAACCAGTAACACGGCAAATAAATACCAGATCAACTAATTTCAAAGTAGAACGGAAACAGTTTCCTGTAGTACCCTGTGAAGCCATGACTACATATAAAAGTCAAGGTGGTACTTATGAAAAAGTCGTTGTCAATCTAAAGAAAGGGATGACACGATCTGAATTATACGTCTCTTGTAGTCGTGCAATAAAAGCAATTGGTTTATATTTAATTGGCGATTTCGTTCCACCAAAACCACCTGAACCTAATGATGCAGTAGCGATGATGTTTAAAAATATGAGATATGAACGAATGCTAAAATTTTCACTTGAATTTTCTGAAGAATCTCAAGAAGAACGATTTTTCGTGATGTTTCATAATGTACAATCGTTGAATAAACATATTTTCGATGTCAGATCTGACAAAACATTTTTGTCTTCTTCCATGATAAGTCTTGTTGAAACATGGACAAAACCTAGTGACTCTTTAGAAATTGAAGGTTTCAAAATAGTTCAAAGACGTGATTGTAATGATATTCGAAAACCATTTGGTCAAATTACTTATCTAAAAAATGATTTGAAGTATGAAAATATCACCGAAAGATTTGAATATTCAGGCAAAAACCATATTGAATATTCCTCAATAAAAATTGATGATATTTGTATTATTTCCGTTTACAATTCACCAAATTCATCATTTGATGTCTTAAAGCGACATATGAATGAAGTTATAACTATTTCAAAAGGATTTTGTGAAAATATAATTGTCGTTGGTGATTTTAATATAAATTTGAAAGTCAAAACCAACAACAAATTTATTGAATATATGAAATCATTTGGACTTAGATTGAATAATACACTAAATAGAGATTCAACTAATGCAAAAACACAGATTGATTATTGCTTCACTAATGTAAAAGGCTTAAAGTCTGATTATTTTGAAAGTCTTACAAATTTTCATAAACCAATATGGATAAGAAAACATGAAGTTTTGACTAAGTTTCATTTTGATGAAACCGAAGACATTTATACAAATATACTTTTCAATATCAATGATGCTATAATTGATGATCAATCTGACGCGATGGAAGTCGATGAGAAATTTGCTTTTGAACATCATGAAACAGTCGATAAAAATGAACAAATTGATTTAGATATGTCTTTTCAATTGGAAGATCTCAAAGTTAATGAGCCATCTGATATGATGGAAATTGAAGAAAAATCTTTTTCCGAAAACTACGAAATCATTGATTCAAAGTCAAGAAAGATTCTAAATCACTTTCTTCTTGCACTTGAGTTTGATAATACTACAGATACTAATCAAATTACAAGTCAAGCTCAAATAATCAATGACTTGATTAAAAAATCACCATTTATAACTACGAATAATAAAGACAAATCCGTCCGGTTAAAATCGGAAACAGAATATTCTGTTCAAGCGTTCGATTCAGTTTATGCTAGAACTCGCACGACTGCAGATGGCAATTGTTTATATAGTTCTCTTTCGATATTAAATGTTGGATCTGAAAAACTAACATATTCGATGAGATTGTTGGCAGTTAATGTAATGATGAATAATAGAGATTATTTCCAAGCACTTTGTAAAGTATTGCACTATCCATTTGAGGAGCAGTTGAAAAGAACTGCTATGGATACAATATGGGGTGGAGAAGTTCAAATTCAGGCGCTTTCTATGGCTCTATCTCATCCTATCTATTCATATATTCAGTTTAACAGTGATCCAACAAATAGACATTATATTTCATCGAACATTAGTTTTCAGGAACTAGTCGATCGATTTAATAAAGGGACAGCAGGTGGTCATTTAAAATATATAGGATACAAATCCGATATGAATAAATTAGGATTTTGTGTTTATTACAACGGTACTCATTATGATGCTCTCTTGCCTTTTCGAGATAACCCTCAACCATTTGTACCACACTTTGACTTGATTAATATGAGTTTATAACAAGATTCAACTAATACAAATAAGTTTTCATTTATGCGAATGAATAAAACTTCCGGAACTAACTCCTCGCCACGTCCTATGGGACAAAAAGAGGGCATCCGCAGGGCCTAAGGGGCAGTTCCTTAGTGCGCTCAAGGATGAATTTTTTAGACAGATTGATGAAAATCAATGTATCGTGAACTTCACTTTTCGAGTACATAAAAATAACGTTCACTCTATGGAGAACAAACGAATATCACACAGACACACTATTAAGATATATGACTTTTTCATGGTTTTTCGCAAGTACGATACTGAAGAGATATTAAACGCAGCATATCCATTCCCTATTATTTTACATCATTTTATAGCTCTTGACGAATTCTATCTACTCTAAAAAAGTGTTATTGGTAATATGAAAAACAAACAAATATCGCACTGGCACATTGTCAACATATATGAGTTTTCTATAGTTTACCGACCCTCTTATACTGAGGAAATCTTGTCTGCAACCTATTTATCCCTATAATTTAGTACCATTTTGTGGCTGGTGAAATTCTCTATCGAATGGTATATAATAAGTGGGATTTTATTTGGCTCTGGTAGAAAAATTTCTTACGAGAACGGCACTATATTATTTTTCCCAAAGAAAAAAATATAGAAAAATCATAGGGAAATATCAGTATTTTTGCAATAACTCAGGAATGGCTAGGCCAATTAAGCTCATCTTCGAACTCGACCGAGATCTTGATGAGACAGTTCTGTGCACAAAATTTCAGCTCAATCGGACAATTCTTTCAAACGTTATCGTGTATACGGACGGCCGGACACACTGACCGATTCTAGAGTGTACTCACTTTTTGAGTACACAAAAAGTGTCTTATTAGAAAGCATGCTAAATTCTATTTTCCACAATTTATGATATACTCTGTTTTTTTTTTTGTTTGGATGAAGAAAATATCAGTTGCGCACGTACTGTCACTCATTTTTATCGTCGTGTTATTATGAGAGATCATGTTAAAATAGGTTTAGACATGTCTTTTCTTTTTTTTACATGGTTAAGATAAACAATAATAACAAAGAGTGAAAAGCAAATATTTTAAAAAAATTACAGAATGGCCTTGAAGTCGGTTTACCGGAAAAAAAATGAATGTCTCCGTCACAGCTCGAGCAAACGAGCTGATTTTTTTTATCAATTCAAGAGACATGATCAAGGTTTATATTGATAAAGACATGTCTAGACGAGACCCTTTGTTAAGTATATTGTTTTATTTCCTATCTGTAAAAAAATAAAATTTTTTTTGTTGAGATCAATAGTGGTACTTAATAAAGGGCGTCTCTAGGCATGTCTTTATGGATATAAACCTTGGACATGTCTCTATTATTGATAAAAAAAATCAGTTTGTTTACTCGAACCGTCATGAAGATATTCAATTTTTTTCAGTAAACCGACTTTTGAACCATTGTATATTTTAGTATTTTTACTAATAAGATATCTTCTTAATAAAGATTTCAATTGAATACAATAAATTGCGATATGAAAACTTAGATATTACTTGTAAACATATATTTTTTATGTCTATTCAAATTAATTTATTCGAAAACTATTAAAACGAGATCGAAACTTCTGAAATACAATATTTATTATTGAAACTTATTAATTCTATTTAATTATAGCTATTTACTTCTTTCTTATCTTTGATGACGCAACTGGAAAAACTAAAATAAATGACAATTCTATTTAAATAGAAAAATGAAAAGACTAACTTATTATCGATAGTACGGAGTACAAATAAGCTAACCCCTTGAGATTAAAATGTAGCTAAATATTTACTTATAACTATAAGAGAACTAAATTATATACTAACAGTAAGAATAGTGAATGTACGATATATACAAAAATAATTTTACACAATCTTAGAATTTAAAAATTAGAATAAAATAATAGTTGTTATTTTCCGCCTATCTAGACCTATTCCACGTGATAGTGATCTTCTTTACGTTCAAAAACTAAATAATCTCCCCACATATTATCTTGTTGGGTTATATATAGAAAGATGCAGTTTTTGACGGGCTTTCTCCTGATGCTAAAAGATTTTGGGAAGGGAACTGTTTTGGTACACTTTCAGAGCAAAAATATAAGAAATTTTCATAAAAAATGATCATTTTTTCCTATTTTTTGATTTCAATATGACACATTAGAAACTCTTTAGACACGATTAGGGGTGGGAAGTTACCGTTACCCGAGAGTTACGTTACCGGGTAACTAGTAACTTTTGAGTTACTAGTTACCGAGTAACTAGTAACGCCGGAGTTACCAGTTACCAGGTAACTAGTAACTTCGAAGTTACTTGTTACTTTTTGTAGGTAACTTGTCTAAAAAGTCGAGATATCGCTTCCTAATGACTGAATATCATCTATTCATCACTCAATTAAATTACGAGTTACTTGGTAACTAGTAACTCCTATGTGCGTTACTAGTTACTCGGTAACTCGTGAGCTGAATAAGTACTGTAATGATGGTATTCACTCATTAGGAAGCGATATCTCCACTTTTTAGACAAGTTACCTATCAAAAGTAACTAGTAACTCCGAAGTTACTAGTTACCTGGTAACTGGTAACTCCGACGTTACTAGTTACTCGGTAACTAGTAACTTGCGAGTTACTAGTTACTTGGTAACGTAACGGTAACTTCCCACCCCTAGACACGATTCATATTTGAGAATCTTGTTCTATGATGATGCATTTAAAAAATCTTGTAGATTTTTGTGTGTAATGTGTGAGTTCAGTTTATTAGTAATATCTTGATTATGATAACAAGAAGAACGATTAGAGAACAAGATAATGAAAGCAATATATGACGACATTGAATAGAAGAAACACAAACATATAAAAGAGCACACTGGGAAAATTCCCAATACAACCTAAGATAATACAGTGGGAAAATTCCTACATTAACAGATCTAATCAATATACATTAATTAATATTAAAAAAGAGAGATCTTTAACGGTAATATATGTTGTCATAAAGTGTTAAATAGAATTCTCTAAAATTCATGAAAATTTTCGAAAATTTGTAAAAGAGTGAGTGACGATGAATTCAAAGATCGCTTCATATCTCTTTATAGGATTTTCAGAAAGAACTAAAAGTTTGGATTGGAAGATAATTTTTCCCGGACTTTCGAATGGTATAACTTATTTTAAAATGAAAATTTTTCGTATGCATGCTTGATTAGTGGTCTAGTGGATCTCTCTTAAAATAAAATTTATAAATATATGATAAACAAATACGTCCACATAGGTGGAAAATAACAACCATTATTTTATTGTCATTTTTTAATTGTAAGCTTGTGTAAAATTGTTTTTGTGTATATTCTACAATCACTATTGTTATTCTTGGTATATAATTTAGTTCTTTTATAATTATAAATAAATATTTAGCAAGATTTTAATCTGAAGGGGGTCAGGTTTTTTTACACTCCGTACTACTAACGAAGAAACATCCTCGGCTGTTAGTTCACCTTTCAACCGAGACCTAATGCATCCTATAGACCTTACTAAGCAATGTCTACTATAAAAAGAGTTCATGCTTATCATCTATTTTTTAGGAGATCAAATGTTTCTATTGAATTATAGTTATTAGGATCTCACATTTTCAAATTTCAACCTGAACTTTGTTTACATAAAGACCTCAATTAGTTTGGGTTTCATAAAAAATCTCGGAGTTTTTGAATAAAGTCTTTTCAAAATCCGAACCTTTCAAGGCATAGACTCTTGTTCATAGATTGTATATAGAGCATAGATTTTTTCAAAGGTTCATCTATTGGAGAGACTTAGTCGAAAAATTTTCAAACTTTTTTATGAAATCTAATTTAATTGAGGTCTTTATGCGATCAAAATTAAAATTCAAAAATATGGTTTTACTGAAAATGTATAATTCTACACGGATGATTCACTAAAAAACATTCGATATCATCAAAAACAAACTATTTTTCATGGAAAACATAATGCATTAAGTCTCAGTTGAAAGTGCACCGATAGTTGAGAATGTTTCCTGATAAGTCATAGTATAGAATTATTAAGAAAATAAATCCAATGTTACGAATGACTATTCAAATGAAATAACAATGATCATAAATGATTCTTATGGTCGTTTACAGATTTACACAAACTTCACATTGATCGAGTTGAGTATATTCATATTCTATCTCGATATTAAAAGTCATCGTAGTAATCTTAACAGATTCATAAATGTGATTAGTCACAATATTTAAATTAAAATTATTTCTCAATATTTTCTTTTCCCGTTCAATTATTGAAAAAAAAAATTCTAATTTGTTTTACTTCTTTGAATTGAATAAAAAACGAAGAAAATGTCTCTTATTTATCCATAGACGTATATTCTTAACATGAAAACTTAATAGAAACTAGATTTATCCTGAATCCAAGTAAAATATATCTTAAGTTTGTAATATCATCGGTATAATATATTTAAAACTGTTTTTTTTTTATAATTTAGATAAGAATTTCAATAATTTGTTGTTAATATCTATGGATGATGATTAGATTTATTTTTTATTGCAATTAATCTTAATAAAGAATAAAATAGCGAGTTTATCTAAAGGATGAAATAATAAGTCTGTACGTAAATAGGTGCCATCTATCATAAACAAACAGTGTGACATAATGAGTCACAATTGTCCCTCTTTATTTCTTCCCATGTCCAACAAACGAATCAAATATTAGCTTTCGCAATATGACGTGGAAGCTTCTGGTTTCTTAATAGATTACATTAGATTTATTTGCTTTCGTTTTGAATCATTTGTTTTTTTTTCTCCTATATAATAATTTTTTTTTACACTTTTTTTAGATTGACATATACAAAAACAAGGAAATTTAAAATAATGATCTGCTATTAAATTATTTGTGCATTATGGCACTTTATCTTCACTTATATGGAAGAATATATCAATCAATATAATAAAAATTTATTAAGAATAAATCATTTATAAATAATATAGTATAATACAATTTGTTGAAAATAATTTAAAATAAATAAAGAATGAATACTGCCGAATTTGATTATGACACATTTCTTGATGGTTTAGAAAGTGTTGATAGACTTTCTAATAATACAGTATGAATCGATAGAAATTGTTGACTGGTTTTTTTTTTCTAAAAAATATTTGTTTTTATATTTGAATAGATATCACCAAGAACAACATCATCAACTGAAAATGATTCCGATTATGGAATAGCACATACACCTATGCTGTCTACTGGATTAGATAATACAGTTATTAATCTTGATGATCTTGGTAATTTTATTTATTGAAAATAAATTTTAAAAAAAAACCAACTAACGATTATTTTAATTTTTTTAAAGATATATTTCCATTAAACATGGAAAGTCCATTATCAGATGATCAAAATGGTGAATTCAATCATTTCTCAGCTCTATTTGATGAAACAGTAAGAAAAATGAAAGTTATGATTTTTTTTCTTAAATATTTCTATGAATATTTTAATTTAGAATCCATTAATGTCTCCTGATAATTCAACTTTTGAAAATTTATTTTCTAATTTTGATTTACCAGTAGAGCAAAATCAAGAAAAATTACAACAAACGGTAAGTCAATTTTATGAAAAAAAAAATCGTCATAATCTTAAATGTAATATTGTTAGCCATCATCTCAATTACCAATTATTTTACCAAAACTATCTGATATTCCTCCAATTCAAAATTGTATTAAACTTCAATCATATACAAATACAACATCTACTGGACCAAAATTTATTAAACTTGAACCAAATAATCCAAATATAAGAATAATAAATCCATCAAGATCAATTTCATTTGCTAATCTACCAGTTATCAAAATGCCTTTAGCAACAAATGATTTATTAGTTAAACAAAATGATAGAATAACAACTCCACCAATAAAACGACGTCGTTCGGATAGTCCAACAAATAATGATAATATATATCAAAAATCAACATTGACACTTGATCAACTTAAACTTCAATATCGAAATATGACTGTAAATAATAATAATTATTATTATTATTATATTCAATTTATTTTAGGAAGAAGCTTTGAAAAAACATCTTCGAATGATTAAAAATCGAGAATCAGCATCACTTTCACGTAAACGACGAAAAGACGTTCGTTTTTTGTTTTTTGTTTATTTAATTAAATGTTATTTATTTATTTATTTTTATTTTTTTGTTAGTTAATGGAAAATCTTGATGTTCAAGTTAAACAATTAAAAGATGAAAATGAAGAATTAAAAAGACAAAATTCAAAATTATTAACTCGTATTCATACATTAGAAATGGAGGTTTGTTTTAATAATCAAATTAACAACAAAAACGAAGATTTTTTTTTGTTTTTGTTAATTAAATAGAATGAAATTTTAAAAAAATATAAAATTCCAAATAGTCCAATAACAACACGAACACAAAAACCTCTTATACTTATGGGTATTCTTCTATTAGTTGTTTTTAATGTATTTACATTAAAGTAAATTAAATATTTTTTATTTATTTATTTATTAATTTTTGATGAGATTTATTTTATTTAGATCTCTTTCACCTATTTCAAATCAATCATCAAATCCTCTTGATTTATATAATAACGAAGGAGCAATTGTTCCTAGTCGAACAATTCTTAGTCATCATCGTACTAATAATGATAAATCCTATATAAACAGTAATGAACATGATTATGGACCAGATGGAACTCAAAATTATAATGATTATCCATCAGTTATACCAAATTATCCTTATATACAATGTGTTGCTTATATTAATAAAACACATTCACAAAGGTAAGACCATTTTATCTTCAAAATTTATCATAACAAATTGATTTTTTCTTTATCAAAATAAAATCATAATATGTTTTCATTTTTTCGAATCCATATCGATTTATAAATTGAGATGCAAACATCTATATCGTCATTGAATACTGAAACAGATCAGATATTTATTACCTGAAATAACTTGAATAACAATAATTTTAAAAAGTTGATCAGTTCTTATTCGTAGATATAGTTATATCACATATTAAAAGATACATCATTTTTACTATAATTTTGTGTTTTATTGCCATATGAAGTATTCCAATTGTCTGTTGTTCATAGAAAGAGGACGACAGATGAGATTGTCAATTAAATAAGTTGACCTAATTCGTCGTAGTTTTAAAAGCGAAGATGTCGCATTCATTTATGTTCGCAATAATCTCTGAATCATTTGATGCTATAAATAGATCATATTTCTAATATATTTATCTATAAAAAAGTTTGAATTGCGTATTAAGAATAACTGAAGATATATCAATAACTCGAATCAATTAACATATATAACCAATGTGTTTAGATGATAGACCCAAGTCAGATGAGGTGGGATAGAAAAAATGTTTCCATGGTATAGATTGTTATGATTTGTCCCATAGAATGGGAAAATTTCTTAAAATTTGTGTCCCATCGTATATAGAGCTCTGGTTTATAAATCGATGAAAACTATATTAATAAATAGTTATCGTTTTTTAATTAATTAAAGAATAAAAAGTCAATTTAATCTAATCGAATTAAAAAAAATATTTGTATATTGATTTAAAAAAATAATTTGTTTAGAATTAATCGAGATCTTCATTCTTGGGTTCAAGATCATAATGAAAAAAGTGCAAAGAGTGAATCAGTAATAATACCTGATCCAAAATCTCTTAGTTTGCCATCAAATGAAATTGTTCGAAGTAAAAGTGATTCATCAATTGAACCTTTACAACATATTTCACGAAAAGTTGCACGAGAAACAAAGTTTGTATTTTTATTATTTATATTAATAAAAAAAAAAAAAGAAAAAATATAAATTTGTTTTAATTAAAGATATCAATCGGAAAGTAAAGGTCATATTCAGCCATATAAAACGTATGAAGCTAATTATGATGATTTTATTGAAACACTCGATAGAAAAAATGATACACTTTATTTTGTATCATTTAAACGAGTATGAACTTTTTTTTTATTTTTATATTTATTTAAATAAATATTGAATTTAATTAAGGATCATCTTATAATTCCGGCAAAAGTACAAAATCAAACTCAACGACCAAAAATGTCTCTTATATTACCAGCATCAATGGCTAATTTAAATAGTATTTATTCTAATAATAATAATAATAAATTTGAAATATAATTTAAAATTTATTTCTAGAATCATTAAATGTACCAAAAAATCATGTTCCAATGATAAAAATTGATTGTGAAGTTGAAGATACAAAACTTGTTTTTGTTAAACATAATCATATACCATCATCATATCGAAACGATTTATTTCAATATTATTCATCGACATCACAATCTTCATTATAATCTTATTTTATAAAGAAAAAATTCACTATATATTGAATTAATCATGAAAAATAAATATTATCTTGAATACATTTATTCGTGTTTTTTTATTCTATCGATTAATAAAATGTATATTATATTTATTTAATTAGTTTTATGTTTATATTTTTCTTTAATAAAGAACTTTCTCTTTTTCTCTCTCTCTTATATTTTTATTTAATTAATCAAAAAATAAATTCAATTATGTTTTCTTTTTATTATTGAAATGAGAATTAATTAAGCGAAAATGAAACATCGAACATGTTGATCTTGAGTCAATATTTATTGAAATATCTATGAGAAGAAAGATTATTAATTTTATTAGGAATAAAAACTAAAGGTGATTAGCATATTGATATAGCCATCTCTACCTTAGATTCTTATCTTTTTTTTTTTTTATTTTGAATAATTTATTCTCATAACTATATTGTATATTATTATACGAAGGTAAATAAATCACTATTATAGAAAGAAAAATCTCTCTCGATTTATTCCGTAAAAACAAAATTTAGAAATATCTCCAGCTAAACGTATTTTTTCTCATTAAAAACCCAAGCAAGTAGTTCTAAAACATTTTCTTTACGATATATTTTATTGGTATAAAAATGCATATCTATTGCATGTTTTACCAAAAAACTTTGAACAGTTTCAGGAAAGACATGTTGTACTTAGTATAACCTGGGTAAATTTAGCACTATATTCGAGTTTTTTGCATCTCGATTCACTTTTCGACTTGGGTTGGCTCTCTACTTGGTTGGGTTATATGTAGAATTAAATTCTGCATCGAATGGTACCATTTTTAACCGGAGTCATCGAGCAAAAAATTTATTTTTATCCAAAATACCGACTTTTTTTAGAACTTTTCCAAAAGTATTTTGCGTCCGAATTTGCTCTCTCACTTGGTTTGACTCTACAAATGGTTGGGTTGAGTTCAGAATTGAATTCCGTGTCGAATTTGACCTGGCATTGTTACCGTCATCTATTTTTTTTGTCCGACAATCCTAGTCGAAATTAGTATCATTCGACGCAGAATTGAATTCTGAACTCAACCCAAGTGAGAGAGCGAATCCGGACACAAAAAATTCGAATATGGTGCTAACTTTACCTACGTCTCAGTATAAGCAATGTTGAACTCTAGCTAACATACAAATTCTTTTTCTAGTTATTTATACTTAATATTTTCTTAAAGACTAATCGAGCATCTGAGTCTGTCAATTATAGCTTGACCTTTTTTCTACTAGTTATAATATATCTTAACTAAAATTATTAGAGCGTTTGTCAAAGTTCCTCAGAAACATAAGATAGAATGATGGAAATATGATAAAATAATTGATAAGAAATAGAAAAATGCATTTACAGAGAAAAAAAAACCAAAACATGAGTTTAGTTAACTCCTTACAGTATGAATGTAAACTGTCCATATAATCCATTCGTTAGATGTTTTCATATTTCTAAGTAAAAATTCCTATCGACATAGAAAACATTTTCAATGGATTCATTTTCTATTAATTCCTGTTTTTTTTCTTATTAACATATCAGGAATTTTTCCAAGATGGCAGTCAATTATTAGTCAGATATAAATGTGTCAATTATTTATCTGTATGAAATCTATCTATAAAATAGAATGTTTCGAAGATTGTATAACAACGATTAAGATTCATGCAAAGAAATCTTTCACTTTCCAAACAGAAACAGCAAAGATATCCGTATAAATATCCAGTACTGACCAAAAATATAGAACCACTTTATTTTTGTTTTTTTCTATAATGCTCAATAATTAGCTAAAATCCAAATAATGATTCTAATAGGCAATGAAGTTTCCTATTTAATACACTTTAGAACAGAATTTCATCAATGAACCATGATGGAAAGATTTCTAGAAAAGCAAAAACTATATTTTTCAAATCGAGGAAGACGTTGTTGAAATAATTTTTCGACAATATCATCTTAAAGAGCCCAAAATTTTGAACAGAATGATGGGTCACCATATTTTTCACTACCTTCCATTAAAAAGTTACAGCCAACACAAAAGAAAAACAGAAAAAAAGTAACTTTTTAGTCAATTTTCATCGATTTTTTTATTTTTTATGTTGGTTGTAACTTTTTAATGGAAGGTCGTAGAAAATGCGGTGATCCATCATTTTTGGATCTTTAAAATGGCATTGTCGAAAAATGATTTCAACAATGTCTTTTCGGATTTGAAAAATACAGTTTTTGCTTTTCTATAAATCTTTCCCTCATGGTTCATTGATGAAACTCTGCTATAAAGTACATTAAATAAGAAACTTCATCGTCTATCAGAGTCATTATTTGGATTTAATCTAACTATTGAGCATTATAGAAAAAATCAAAAAATAAAGTGATTCTATATTTTTGACCAGTACTGTAAATCGAATGAAAATAGAACATGTCTTCGTCTATTAATCGACTTAATTTAATAATAATAGAATAAATTTATCAATTGGAAATAGGAGACATAAATATGAATAGATATAATCAATTCAATTGTTGACAATAAAGAACATAGTTAGTGTAATCGATACAAAACAAAAATAAAATGAAAGATCTTTATTATCGGTATTAATCGTAAATAATGGTTGGAGAGAACGATAAACTTTTATATATTAAAGTGCGCTATTCATTAAATGAATAGGTTATGTTTATATTCGAGCTTTTTATTAATAACATAGGATTTAACATATCTCGGTGGTCTATAAAAAAAATCAATAATGAAAAACAAAAATAAGCTCGGTTAATATGTGAGTTAAGTATTATGATGAGGATAAACAAGCATCTAATAGCTTTTTTCTTATTAAATCAAATATTTTTTAATGAAATGAAACTATATGATAAAATAAATTCTCTATGTATAGTTTACTAGAAATTTTGTTTAAAATTAATAAAAAAAAACTTTCTATGATTGATCGTTGTATAGAATGATTCGACAGAGTTGTTACCACGGTATAATCTTATTTAATAAGTTTTCATAGTTGTTCAAAAGATTCTTTTAATCAAAGTAAACTTGTTTTATTCATCTGCGTTTGTCCTATTTTTTACATTATTATTTGTTTGATTATTAATATTCAAATAGATTCTGCTGTGCTTTCGTTATTAAATTTATATTGAGAACTGTTTTATTTAATCGATATATCTTTGAATACAATAATATAAAATATTTTTCTATATGTTAACAGATTTTTATTTTATAAAAAAAAAAGAGATTTTTACTCAAAATAGGAGTTCAAATATTCATTTAACTTGTGTGTAAAATAACTCATTTTTCTTCAAAAAAACGCATTATAAAGACAATATTCTACTGCGTTTGTAAAATAATCTTTTTTCTCCTCAATCGAACGCCAGAAACAACTTGTTTAAAAACATGACGAACGAGCGAGTCAAACGCTTAAAAGTAAACGGTACTCGAACGATATTTTAAATAGCATTAATTGAAGAGACAAAAACACGTTCAACCGGTGTTTTTTAGTTAAAAAAACGTGCTTAAACGCAAAAATAACATTCTTCTTTCTAAAATTTGACTATGAAACGATGTTTTGTATAATTTCTCTTTCATGAGATTTGTAGAGGATATATCAAAATTCTAGACTCTTCTGTCCTATATAGAAAAAAAATGAATATACATCTTCCAAAAGAAATCTAATTGTTTAATTTATATGTTCGTTAGATATATGAATCTATGTCTATGTGCTACATAGATTCATATATCTAACGAACATATGAATTAAACAATTAGATCTCTTTTGAAGATACATATTTATTTGTTTTTGTATATAGCACAGGGATGTCTAGAATTCTGATATACCCTGTACATTCATCGGATGCTCATCTTAAATATAATATTAGAAAATATTCTTATTTTTATATCGAAAAACCAATTGATCAGTAAACGATTCGATATTTTACTAAATAATATGATGATGTGGTAATAAGTGATATTTGCAATATCATGATTACTGTAGTTATGTACGTTGAAGACAATAAAAATAAATCTGTAAGAGAAGAAATATTTCTTATTTAGTAAATAAGTAAAAAAAGAAAGCGTAATTAAATTTGTTCATCTTTGTTCTATATTAAAAGATAAGTAATAAGAACTTTAAATGGCAAATCTTCTTGAACAAGTTCGTCAATCAACAATAATTGTTGCTGATACAGGTGATTTTGAATCAATAAAAAAATCTAAACCAACAGATGCAACAACAAATCCTTCATTAATATTATCAGCTGCTAATATGAAAGAATATAATTATTTAATTGAAGATGTTATTAATAAATCTCGAGAAAAAAATTCATCAATAACAAATGACCAAACAATAATTGATGATATAATTGATAATATATATATTTGATTTGGTGAAGAAATTCTTAAAATAATTCCAGGTCGTGTTTCAACTGAAGTTGATGCACGTCTTTCATTTGATTATCAAGGACAAATAGATAAAGCTCGACATTTAATTGATTTATATGAAAAACGTGGTATATCAAAAGAACGTATTTTAATTAAATTATCATCAACATGGGAAGGTATACAAGCAGCTAAACTATTAGAAGATAAATATCATATACATTGTAATATGACATTCATTTTTTCTTTTGCACAAGCATTAGCATGTGCTGATGCTAAAGTTACATTAATATCACCTTTTGTTGGAAGAATTTTTGATTGGTTTGTTGAAAAAAAAGGAATACATGAATATAATATTGAAGAAGATCCTGGTGTTGTAAGTAAATCATTTTATTTATATATTTATTTATATATTATGTTTAGATGAGTGTTACACGTATTTATAATTATTATAAACATCATAATATAAAAACAGTTATTATGGCTGCTTCATTTCGTAATATAAAACAAATTCTTGGTTTAACTGGATGTGATTTATTAACAATAACTCCTAAATTACTTGATCAATTAGCATCAGAAAATACAAAAGAAAATGAAAAAATTCAAGTTTATTTACATAAAGAACATCGAAAATGTGCACGTGGTAAAAAATATGAAAAACTCGATGAAAAAACATTTCGTTGGATGTTAAATGAAGATGAAATGGCTAATGAGAAATTAGCTGATGGAATACGAAAATTTGCTGTTGATGCTCAAAAACTTGAAGATCTTATTCGAAATCGTCTTCAACAAAACAAATAAATATTTATTCTTCTTCCTCTTTTTTAAATCTATACTTCTCTCATTCAACTCAACCTTTTTACACCTTGTCTCATTGTGATTTTTCGAGAAAACTTTATGGAACAAATTTTCGAATAATTAAGAATTCTAGTTAATGACAATATTCAACTTAATATATAATTCATATTTCATTTTTTTTTAATCTATCTCAGACAGAGAAATATCGTTTAAGAAAGGCATAGTTTGTTGAATCTATGTCAAATTGATATAAATCTTTTTCATTTAATAAAGCTATTTATAGTTTTCTATAGTCTTTCAAAAGTCTAACAAAAAATAAAACATAAATAAATTTTCATCAATTAAATCAATGAATATATTTCCTTCATCATTTTATTGTCATTCATACTCATCGAAACTTTATTCAATATAAATCAGATAAAATAACTATAATTACAAACACATGAGAATATAAATTATTCTATTCGTATACAAGTTTAAGTCATCGATGGTTATGAAACGTAAAATGATAGACTAATTTGACAGATAAACACCAAATCAAAATAATATTAAAGAGTTTTCTCAATTTTTTTTATCAAATTGATCATTGTAATAGACCAAGCATATTCTCAACATCTTCCAGTAATCATACAAAAGAAAATTTTGCTCAAGTTGATGTTGATATTACAAGTGTATTAGTATAAAGTATTCTAACTGTTTGCAAAGTTTGTTCAATAGGATATTGAATGATGAAAGATCTGAATAAAGTAAGATTTCTTATGATTCGAATGATAAACAATATCAATTTGTGAGATATAGATTTTTTGACCATATTAGATTTAAATAAGTGATTCTATTCGATGAACTTTATGATTATGTCAGTTGATATCATTTGAATTTATTCAATGGAGACGAATGACAGATAATATCTACAAAATATTGACTAAAAATTATCTTGAAATAACAAAACGAATTAGTAACGAAAATAAAATGATTTTTTATGAAATTCTTTCGAATATCTTTTTTCAAATGATTGAAAATAATGGACTTCTATCTTTCCGTTCTCGATATTCATTTTTAACAATCAACGAAAATTAAATAATATCAAAAGCAAACATTGAAAAATGTTGAATAAAATTATAGAAAGTTCATGAATAAAAGTTGAATTGTTTGAAATTTATTCAAATTGATCTTTTTCTGGCGAACTTTTCAAGTGACTTTTTATTTATTGGTTTAATAAAACTAAAGAGAATATATAGATTATTTTAAAATATGTATTTATTCTTTGAGAATATCTATCATTATCTGGTCTTCTATTTTTACATTGATAAAACTTTCATAACTTTGTTAACTCGATGATTTTCATCCTTAAATATAAATAATTCATTAATAAAAGTGTAAATTAGTTTAATGTATTAATATTTAATTGAAAGTAAAATATTCTATTGTGTTTATCTTGGTATGATTATTTGTTTATTTTGAATTCTAAGATAATTTATTTTCGTACTTTTTTGTAATGTCTTTGAGATGAAAACATTTTTCTATGACTTATTATATTCGATAATAAATGACACTATAAATTTAAGACAATTATTGTAAATATAGACGTAAGTCAACAACAGTCTTCAAGTATCGTTTAGTGTTGTTAAAGACCTTCGAACGAAGGTTATAGTAAGATTTCTAATGTAAAAGAATGTTTGTTCTGTTCATTTTACTGTTTTCTCATAAATATAAATTTAAAAAAAAAATCCGATTTTCATTGAATTATTGTTATGATAATTATTGTTTATAACAATAATTGAAAATAGTTTGTCATATGAATGTTCTATTTAAATTTGCTCAAGAGTCTACTATAGTACAATAGAAAAATATATTCATCTAGAATCGATTACGAAAAGATACTAAACAACTATTCACGAATTGAAAACATAATAATAGGAAAACAAGTATTAGAATAAATATTATTTTCAAGGAGATATTAATAGATGAAACAAATTTTCAGTTTTCTCAACAAACTTTTGTTGTTTGAGACAAAAAAAATCGTCGAGTAAGAGAAGTGATGAAATTTGTATGTAGAATAGAAATAAGAGAGCAAACAAAAATAATCTCAACAATAAATACAAAAGAATAAGTTCGATGTTCTCTTTATTTTCGGTATGATAATTTATCTATATCACAAACCAAGAGAAAATCTTACCAATTAAATCCAGGTATCAATTTCATATTTCAGACAATCGACTCTTTCACTTTTAGACATTATCACTCATCAAACAATTTTTAATAGTTTTGTTTTTTTTTAATTATAATAATTAGTATGAGTAAAACCTATTTAGAAATGATTAGAATAGATAGATCGAATATAATATTAATTATCCGATTATAGAATAAATAACAATAGAAGAATTCTATAAACGAGAGGATAATAATAAAACTGTACACATTTTCACCAATTTACATACTCATTTTTCTATCGTTATTAAATATTCTAATAGATGAAATAATTCAAATATTTTTTTTTTATTTTAAATAAAAATGATAATGTCTACTATAATTGTAAAAAAACAAATAAAAATCTCCTCCAAATTAGATTCGAACATGAAATATTCTGATTATGTCAAAGATTAATTATTCTATAATATCTGAATTGAATTTTCTAGATAACTTTTTTTAAATTCATAAAAAAAGATTTATTTTCAAAAGAAAAAAATCTCATCTAATAATTAACTGTAGTAATCGAAATAATGAATAAATTCAAATCTTTCTATGTTAATTATTTTAAAATATATAAAAAGAATTTTTTGTTATATAATATATTAACTATCTTAATAAAAATATAATTCGAATCATTTTATAATTAAATAGTTATTAAAAAATGTTTGATCACTTTTTTTGTTTTACCTTGAGAGATTAATTAGAATTTGAATAGATTTCTCATCTCCATAAAATGGAAAGAACACGAGAAAGAAAGAGAGAGAAAAAAAAAATGAATTGATTATTGTAATAACGGTTGACTTGTTGATGAAACAAGATAAACAGAAGCCCAATTGAAATCTAAGAATAATAATAATTATGTAACTGTTCATTTCATTTCAAATTCACATTTCTTTTTAGTGCGGTAAGTACAATCAAAAAAAGAAAAATTTCTTTATTACGATTAGAGAAATTTTTCTTTTTTCTATTTGCTTAAAGCTATTCACTACAATTAGTCTATTAGAAAGAAAGAAAAACTAAATGGTAACACGTCAAGATAAATGGTGGATAACAATGTCAAATATAGACATTAAACAAAATCGACATGAAAATATCAAAATAAATATAGGTGAACATGTCAAACAAATTTTTTTCGAACATTTACAAGGTAAAAAACAAAAAAAGAAACTTGAATAGTTCAGAGATGTTTAAATACGTTTCACTATATATATATATATATATATTTTTTTCTTATCTTTAAATAAAAATTCTAAGAGTAAGAGAAGCAATAAAAAATAAATTAGTTAATAACTATTTAACAAAATCCATATAATTTTATTTTTTGTTGAAAAAAAAAAGTGAGCATTTAAATGGTGTCAGTTGCTTGCACTTAACAACAACCTTAAATTTTATTTGGTGCAATAAAAAAACAACTTATTCGTTTTTCTTACTTGATGGTATATAGAGACATTTTGTATGTATTCAAAAAAACATGAAATTCAAGTGGTAAAAGTTGAGTAGTGAAAAAGAGAAAAAAAATTTTCGACATCTACAAAATCTTTTTTGATGTATGTTGAAAAAACATCATTACCGACGACGTCTGTTTAATGAATAAATGGAAGTACCCACCTTTAAATTACCCCATATTCTTCCCTCGTCAAATAGTTATATTCATAGTGATAGATCTTCAAATATTAAACTCGGTAGGATAAATAACTTTCAACAAAAAAAAAACCAATATTCTTTTTGTTTTTTGTTTTGTTTTTGTTAATAATTTGTATATTAATTTTAAAAAAAAAGGTACTAATTCATATGAAGAATGGCGTGCAAATATTCATCGAGAATTAGAAGAAGATCTTCAACGACAAGTACGAGAACTTCTTGAAGAAACTGATCGACAAGAACGTTTATCTAAATTCCAACGACAATATATTCGGTAAGAAATAAACTTAATTATATAAATCAATATTTATTATATTGAGAATTTATTTTTTATTTATCGGATAGAAAAATAAAACATCGAATCGAAATTAAAATCAAATAAAAAACATTATTTCGTCATTTATTAACGATATAATAAGAGTCTAAAGCAATTAAGTTGAATAAATATTCTGATATAGAATATATTTTAACATAATCAAATATCGATTTATATTAAATATAATAGATATTAAAAAAACTAACGATTATTTTAAAATATTTAATTTAAATTAACTATAATTATAAATAGGATAATCATATTGTTTCATTCGATAAATATCTAACAATCATAATTTCACATATTCGATATTTCTCATTACTACATATATAAATATTTAAATATCTTCTATCGAATTAAATATATTTGTCTATCTTAAATCTTTTTATGTAGGAACTTTATAGATTAAATATCGATAATAAGATGATTTATTTTGAAAAAATTTCTTATTTTATTATCGTAAATAAGTTCATATAGTTAAAAGATGAGATATAAAATATTTTTCTAAGTTAAAAAGGATTCTTTAATCGAATAATAAATAAACAAATATGAAAAAAATATTTATATTTGCAAAAAACCGACAAATTAAAAATAAACTATAAAAATAAGATTAAAATAATATTCGGGAACTTTTTTATATTATTTTATTCATATATTAGACAAAGAAAAATATTTCTTGACTAACGACATAAATTAATTTTCAAGAGTATTGATCATATTGATTTGAATTTTTTATTTTTGTTTTATTCGAAATATTTTTTGTTGAAAATAAAACAATAATTAAATTAAATAAAGTTCTCATTCAACTTCCAATTGATGAAAAGAGAAAAGAAAATATTGAGAAAAATATGCTAGAAGAAAAAAGATTTATTTGATTGCTTTATTTTTTTTCCCCTCATATCTTACCTATCGGAAACAAAGAGTAATCAAATAAGAAAAAGAAGAAACAATTTTCTTTTTTCTTTTTTTCCAAACTTTATTTTATTTAAAAAAAAAATTTGTTTTTTTTAAAATGTCGATGATCTTTCGAATAAAAGGAGTTAATTTTTATTTATCTTCTCTCTCAAAAACTAGTGTTGATGAATGTTCACCACCAAAATCACAAGAACCTATTGATACATGGAATGAAATAAATCGTCGAAATGAAAATGTTCTTAATCCAGCTAAATCAAAACATATATCACAATCACAAAATCATTTTTCAACTAATAATCATCATAATACATTAAATGATTTATCAGATAAACCATTTTATTTAAATTCTTATCATAGTTATCGTCGTTTACCAGAATCATCACAAACTACAGATGATGAAATAAATATAAATCCATCAATATATATTCAAAAATATACAAATAAACAACAATCATCGATTATTTCAAATACAAATGATTCATCAATTTTATTTGGTAATAGTATAATTAAATCTAATAAAGCATCTATTTTAAATATATTCGATCAACAATTACTTGATGGTGATTATAAAAATAGTTATGTTAATAAACATGGTATTAGAATTGATGAAGATGGTCCATTTTGGCCAGATAATTATCAGATTCTTCATCCAACACCAAAATTTCTTAGTCGGGAATTGATACCAAAAGAATTTTATTTATCATCATCAATCACAAGTAAGAAAAGAAAAAAAAACGAGTGTTGACAAATCTAATGTTTATTTTTGAGTTTGATGATTTTCTTTTTTAACGTTTGATGAAGAGAAAAAAAAAGTAAAAGTAGATGAAATTGATTAAGTAAAATAAAATGCGTTGTGGACAATTAATTAATTCTTGATAAGATTATTGTTATTATTATTATAATGAACAATATGATTATTTGATTAATTCAATAAAAGAATATTTACATAATAAACGTTTTTTATTATATTCACCATGGAAAATAAATGTTGATAATTCAGATCCATTTTGACCAAGAGAATATCCTATTAAATATGCAACACTTTCACATTTATCTAGGAAATAAAATATAAAAGATTGAAAAGAATCTTATCGATTTTTAGAAAGCAATAATCGACAAACATATGATAATCAACCAGCTATATATAAATATCAAGATACATTAAAACATCCTATTATCGTTTATGATATGGATAAATCAGCAAGAGTTCAACAAATAAAACAATCTGATTATGATCAAACATGTCCTCAATTAATATTTGAATCACGATTTGAAGGTGGAAATTTACGACAAGTTAGACGTGTGTAAGAATAAATTTAAAAAAACAAAATTTTTTTTTCTTTCTTGTTGAGATTTTCAAGTAACACTTTCATTTTTGTAGAGGTCAATTTGAATATGAACTTATTCTTCGACCTGATCTTTATACTCGAAGACATACACAATGGTATTATTTTCGTGTACAAAATATGATTGCAAATATAACTTATCGTTTTCGGATTATTAATTTAATGAAAAAAAGTAGTTTATATAGTGATGGTAAGCTTCTTTTTTTTTTGATTTTTCAAAATTCTTTAATTAAACAATTTATTTGCATAAGTATTGAATTTTTTAATTCTATTTACCGTTTCAATTCGAGCAGTTCATATTCACATAATAGAATTTGAGAATATATTTATTATTGAATATATACAATAAGACATTGGATTATTCATTGGAGATTATTTTTTTAAAAATAACTGCATTTTACAACTATTTTAAATTGTGTATTCCATAATAGACTTTAAAATAAACAACGAATTTCGAATTTTAATGTTTTTTTTTTGGCGACAAATTAAATGTTCAGTAAAATTTGTTCAGTATTATATACAAATTTTCAGTACAGAAATCAAATTATCAGTATAAAATTCAATCTTCATTAACTATTACGTTTGTTCAGTTAACTAATTGTTTGCTCAGTAAATTAATAAATTGCTCAGTATTAAAATTAAAGTTTCAGTAATTAATTCAGTTTGCTGATTCAAAAATTCATTTACTCAGTAACAAGTAGTATTTTTATCAGTAATCATTTTTATTTTTTCGATGAAAATATTTTGATGTAAATAGAAGAATGGGTCCACATTGACTGATGATGGCATCATCAGGCAAAATATTTTATTCTACTTTCTTGTCCTTTTCTTCGCTTTATACTAGTAGATAAATGGGAATGGTTAGATAGTGTGTGCAATTACCCAGCATTTTCAATAAGTCTATGTATAAACATTTTATTGTGACCATTCGATGAAACTACTGTAAACCACCACCTGCTGCTAAAAATGTGAAAATTGGTGAAAAAAGACGTCGCGGTAGACCAACAAAATCCAAAAAGGCGTTATTGATTCAATAAATTTCTGTTAATTGGAATTATACTTTTTTCTACTGAAATAAATTATTAAAAAACTGAACAAAAAAAAAATTAAATACTGAATCTTTATAAATTAAATACTGAATTTTTTGAATTCTTTACTGAACTTCTTGAATTATTTACTGAGCAAAAAAGAATTTTTTACTGAACAAGAACTACTGAACACGCGATAAAAAATTTACTGAACATTCATAATAAAATACTGAACAATTAAATACAAGCCTTTTTTTTTCTTAATAAATAGTCTCAAATTCAAAGAATTAAATATACCAATGGATTTTTTGGAATTTTTCTCAAAAGCAAGAAAATTATCTTTTTGTTTTTACATATAGAACAGTTAAAATGTAAAATATCGAACCTGTATACGATCATATATTTATAGTTTAAATCAAGTAAAACTGTGTTATAATATGGTCGTAACTCTATTCAGAGAAAAATAAATACGATCGATCAGTTTCACTGTTTTTGTTTGCAAACAGTCTTATTTATCTTCATTTGATATTTGTCATCAATTATATTGTTGCTCACAATTACCTTTATCTCAATTGTCAATAATGATTAGGATTTTGTTTTTGTAAGCCACTGATTCAAATAATAGATTTGAATAAGCAAAAAAAAAACATTTGCTCAATAATAAGAGTATAAACTTACTTTAAAAATTAGAAAGTATAACTAAATTAAACTTTTTCGTAGAATAGAAGAGATCAGGTCTTCTATTATGTGTTCGGCACAGCGTTCATACAATGAGGTCGTCTATAGCAGGCAGAACTTTTATGTAGTTTATTTATCTCTGAATCAAAATTCTAGAATATTTATGTCATTAATTAGCATATAAATATATATAGTTAATATCTTGAAAATCTATCAGTAACAGTTATCTAATTGAATATTTATTAGAGAAAAAAAATTCGCTTAAGAGTTATTGTCTCTGAAAAAATCGATATAAGCATAATCCACGTATCTAAATATTTGATTTAAATTAATGATTTAACAAAATAGAATAATAAAAGTCATAGTAAGAATAAAATTGAAATGTATTAATTGTTGATTAAATAAGATAAATTGTTGATAAATTAGGTATGCAAATTCTTCTATTCTCTGAAGTTGATGCAAAAAAAGAATGTCGAAGTTGGTATCGTGTTGGCCATCATATTAATTATTCTGAAACCAAACAACATTCATATAATTCGTTACTTGAACGAGATATTAATTATTATGAACTTGACTTTCAATTAGTATGTTAAAAACAAAAACAAAAAACTTTCGAAATTATTTTTAATTTATCTTAGGAATTTTCACATTCTGGTGATACATGTTATATAGCTCATTGTTATCCATATACATATACAGATTTAAAAGATGATTTAGAACATTTGTCAACGACAAGATCACGTGACATATTTCGTCGAGATATTTTATGTGAATCTCAAGCAGGAAATTCATGTTTTATAATAACTGTAACAGATGAATGTAAGACAAAAAAAAATAAATAAATAATTGTATTCTTGTATTTATTTTTTAAAATTTTTTAAGCTGTACCATTACATAAAAAAAAAATTGTTTTTATTACTGCACGAATACATCCAGGTGAAACAAATTCAAGTTATATGATGCGCGGTTTACTTGAATTTATAACATCGAATGATAAAACTGCTCAAGTATAAATTCAGTTGTTTTTTCTCAATAAATTTCAATAGAAAAAAAAAGTTTTTTTTTCTTCTTGTTTTTAATTAGAAATTACGATCAGAATTAGTATTTAAAATAGTGCCAATGCTTAATCCTGATGGTGTTATTGTTGGTAATTATCGATGTTCATTAACAGGAAAAGACATGAATCGCAATTTTCGTCATCCACGTAAACAAGCATTTCCTATTATTTATCATATAAAAGAACTTATACAAAATCTTCAACGAGAACGAAGAGAAGTACAAAATATTAATGAAACACCAGAAATAGAGAAGTTTGGAGATTTTTTTTGTCTATTTATATAGATATTGGCTTTTTGTGATCTTCATGGTCATAGTCGAAAATCGAATGTATTTGCCTATGGCTGTGATGGATGTGATGGACCACAACCGGATATGAAAAATTTTTTATATGCTCGAGTTTTACCATTTATTATGTCAAAAACGGTAAAATCGAAATGATTTCTATTGTTCAAATTGATCTAATTCATTTAATTTTGTTCAGTTTGTTAGAATTAATTAGGACCTAAGAATTTGTTAAATTTCTGATATTTGGAAAGACGATCTCTTTATATTTATTTTGACGATCAGGATATGTCAAGTAACTAATATATTCTAGATAATAATCCTGATCGATCTGAATTGAATTCTATTATTTCAATTTTGCTTGAAACAAAACCACTAATTTTGTCTTTTTTTTTTATCTAATACTAATGATCGATTATGGAAATATCAGATTGATTAAGAATTTAATCAAGATTGTAAAAATGATAAGTTTTGATTTAATTGAACTCAATTAATTAAACAATATGTACGTATTGTAGATAATTGTGATGAGAGTCAATATAATCTACTCTTAATATGAATTATCAATAAGATTGATATTGTTAAATTGTCTGAAAAGTATGATTCGAATGTTACATAACGAATATGAAACTGTCTATCATTTTCAGATTGTCTATTATATAAATAAATGTATTCTCATTTACTGATCATTAATGCTTCATAAATATAGGTATAGATGAGAAAAAATTGTCGATAATACATTATTTTCATGTTAGAAATCGAAAAAGTGCTCATAAACCGATATACTTAGATCGTTGATAAATTTAGTAACACATATCCCTATTCTAGAAGAACAAATAAAAACTATAAATCGAATAAAATACTGATATCTCGGATCCGTCAATAACTTAAATGGATTAATTCATAAGGCTTTTATCAGTTGAACAAATAAGCGTATCTCTAATTTCATCTATAAATTTATATAATTGAAAAAAAAGTTGACAAAATAAAATGTTTTATTTATTAATTTTCAGGCACCAGATATGTTTGCATTTGATTATTGTAAATTTCACATACATCGATGTAAAGAATCAACTGGCCGTGTTGTTATGTGGAAAGAAATGTTAATAAAAAATAGTTTTACATTAGAAGCATCATTTGCTGGAACAAGCATTGTGTAAGTTTTCTTCTTTTTTTAAATAATATCTAATGAACCAATATACTTAAATATTCAATCGATTTTTATTCTATCTTTTCATTATAAAGAAACTTTGATGAGATATGAAAAAGACCTGAGAAAGATTCATTCCGTTAGACATTCATTCTCAATTTATGATTGTTTTACAGACTTGTCGACATTCGAAAAAAAATTCGAATAACATTTTCTTAATCGGAGATTTTTCTCATTGATAAGCGTCAGTGTCAATAGGATATTCAAAAGTTTTCATCCGAAATCAATAGTTCTACCTCAAAATAATGAGTACTTCAGATAACTCAAGTTGATCGATTTGTTAATAAAACTATTCTCTTTTTAAAGTTCGATTATCTCGATAAAAAAAGATGATTGATTGATATATTTACGTGTAAAATATATTTATGCTCTTTTTTTTTTGTTTAGTTAATAATCCTTTTAAAACATTGTCAATATAAGTTATTTCTAAGATGTTGATCATCTCTTTTTATTCACATAAATCAATTTAATTAATTCGATAATAGAGAATTCATCAGGCAAATCAATTCGAAAATAATTCAAAATCTATATAGATTTTCTCCTATAGGAAAGATATATTTTTGAGATCTGTCATTCTATATCTGTCTTTACTAATTATACAAAGTCAATTAAAGTAAAGACATACCTATAAGAGAGTCTATTAGATCTTGCTTCTTTTTTGTGTTTGTATTTCCACTCTCACTTTCACCTTCAAAAAATAATTTTACACATAAGTGTCAACTCAACAGTACAACGTGTAGCAATGTCATAGCACGTGAAGCATCAGTTTATGTCAGAGAAAACAAATCTTTTTCAAGTGTTTTTTTTTTCATATCTGATCGAGATCTTCTTATAATGAAAAGATAAAAAATGCAAAGAGATTGAATATCTAAGAATGTTTGTTTGTGAATTTTGCAATTGAATTTATTTCTTAAAGAGAAAGACCATGTCATTTTAATATACAAGATTATGAAAAATTTGGAGAATGTATTTGTAAATCATTAAAACAATATTTAGATGTTCTACACGATTCAACGTAACGATTAATCTTTTTTCTTTTTTCTATTAATAGAAACAAATTTGTATTTGTAGACGATTAGAATCAATATTTTTGGATATAACAAAAAATGTTCTTCATAGATTAGATAAAAATAAAATTCCATTTGGATTATTACCTTCTCTTTATCCCGGTTAGTTTTATTCTCTCAATTTTATTAATAAATCTAAATTTTTTAGAAGAAAAACAATTAAATCAATCTGTAATATCAATTAATTCCGTAAGCAATTGTTTAGAAATTTTAACACAATGTCATGAAATAATCAATGATCAAGATGCTTCAAGGTTTTATTTTTTTTTAAATATAATAATTTGAATTTAAAAAAAAAAATTTATGTTAGTTCAAGTGATTCAGATAGTGATCCAGAAGGTGGTGAATTACCTGATATACCATATTCAAAAGAGAAAGCAATAACAAAGAAAAAATCAAAAAAAAAACGAACTGATAAATCGAATGAAGAACATCTTCAAAAATCAAATCGTAAACGTCAGGTAAAAATTTTTTCAATAATATTAATCAAATATTATTTTTACTAATATAATCAATAACCTACTCATTACTTAGGTTAATCGTTCAAAATCTATGAAATTATCTAAATTGGTGAGAATTTATTGTTGTGGAATTATCTATTTGTTTTCTTTCGATTGATATCATATTTATATGAAATAATAATTTCATTAGGGAAAGAATGAGTATAATAATGACCATCAAATACGTGTATCGTATCCATTTACATCAGAAGTTGATATTAATTCACAACTAAAACTTTCACTTGCTGTTGATCAGGTTCAAAAAAAATATTTTATTTAAATAACAATATCACATTTATTGATACTACACATATTTATATATATGATAAATATAGATATACATACGTTTTTTTTTTGACTTAAGGGTACCCTCCCTCCTTTTCCGCAATTTCTGGAAAAGGATCATGAGAAAAATTTCAAATTTTCAAAGCAGATAAATCTTGTTCAATATTTGTCTGTCTTTCTCCAAGATGGTATGTTTGATCAAACTAAAAGTACTTTTACAAGCACTAGACATTGTTTGGACTAGGGAACCTTCTTTTTAAGAGCTAACAAAAATCAACAGAACAAGATTTTTTGAAACAAAAAAAAAAAAAAATAAATATTCATTCCAAATAGTGTATAGTATATCTGAAAAAAGCTTCAACTCGATCGGACATATCAGATTGGAGAAACGAGATTATCTAATGTTTGAAAACAAGAATTTTTTAATACGAACATCTATTCACTATATAAGTACTATTTTAGCATGTAGAATCACAAATAAAAAAAAACAAAAATTTTGTATCAGAAAAGGATGGGGATACCCTTAAACAATTGGTTTTTTGTTGTTGTTCTGTTTATTTAATGTTTTAAATATTATTTTTATTTAGATGGATAAAACAACTCGAATGATACCAGAAAGAGGTTCATTATTTATAAGTAAATATGCAAAACGAAGTGGACACGGATTACCAATTTTTACAACTGAACGTGCATTAGAACGTAGAAGTCAGGTTAGATTATTCAATTATTCAAATATATTATTTAGTAAACAATTAAATACTGATCTGCATCTCTATAGAGATTCTTTTTTTTAATTCACATCAACAACAGATTTGATTATTTCACTTGCAAACAGGTTAAGCTAATTTAAGGGGATTCCCTGATAAAATCCAATTTTTAGAAAAAAGTTTGAAGTTGAGTTTTTACCATAGGAAGATGCAGCGGAATTTCCTCTTTCGGAATATATATATAGCTTTTCAGAAAAGGGCCAAATTTGAAGAGACTTTCGAAGCTATTTTCATCCTCCTCCATCATGTTTTTTTTAGGAATTTTTCTGTTTTTTAAAAGTTTATTAGTTTAGGAAACATTACCTTTTATCTGTTTCGGCATTGAATAAATGATTATATTTACTTAAATATGACCAACAGTGGTAGTTTAAATCATTTATTATAGTTTAAAAAGAATTACACTGACACACACATTATCAATATAACATATTAATATTGTCTTTCCAGGTCAAGAAGTATGGGCCGGTTCCGACAGGAAAACACCAGAAATTGCTGGAACATGGAACCAATATTCCGACGGAAAATTTTCGGATCTTTTCTGATGGATTTCGGCGAATTTCCTGTCCTGTCCGGTAGGAATCAGCGGGAAATCATCGGAAAAAATTGGAGAATTTCCAGCCGGAATACTGTTTTCGTATTCCAGTGATTTCCGGTGTTTTCCTGCCGGATACGGTGACTTTTCCCGCATCTGTCTTGTCGGTTCTAGTGAAATCCGATTATTCTCGGAGACCGGAATCATTGACCTGGGTTTTCCTGGACTGAAATGAAAAAATTCATTTCTAAAACTTGTTTAGTGTCTCGATGTAAAAATATTTTGTAGGCTAAAATAACAGTAAAATGCCTATAACTCTGGAGGAAAAGTATATTGGACTTATTCCTTTAGGGTTTTTAATGTATGACTGTGGTCTACCTTGTGCAGAGAATCCAAATTGGAAAGGAGTTTATTACTTGAAATATTTCTCTCATTAGACGAGAAAAATCTATGAAAATTTGATAGAGACATCGTACACTCTGAAAGTCCGTCTGTGTGAAGTATTTATTTGATAAAAGTTATAAATTTTTACTATTTTTAATAAAATAATATTTGTTTTTATTTATTAGAAAAATAATTCTCTTCTACAAGATATTAATTATGATCAACAACTGGTAATTATTGTTTCTTTTATTAAAAAATAGAAAATATTGAATGGATATCAACCTCTAAACTATTTTTTTTTATTTCAAATTAAAAAATCTCTTATAGAATATAATTAGGACTTATTGAGTAATGAAACTTTTTATTGTAAATTTGATCATTAAGAGTATTTATCAAACTAAACTTTATATTACTATTTTCTACAAGATATACTTTTAAATATATCATCTAACAACAAAAAAATCAACTAAATATAGATGAAATCATTAATTGAACAGACGTCATATCATTTAGAATTACAGAGAAAGAAAAAAACAGCTAAAACTAAACAATATATGAACTTTATTTAATAAATAGTCATATTCAGGATATTCTATCAACCATTTTTCCCATATAGAAAAACAACAATAGATGGATTTATAGACATTCTTCAATTATTTCTATTAATAAATATGTTTACATTCAAACAATAAGATGATTTGGTATCCTTTCATCGAAAAATTTTATTCAGAAGTATTTCATCAGGAAAAATCAATAGAAATTTGTATTAGATAAACGTTATTATATTAATATAAATGAGAGCATAATTGAATAGTTGATAAGATAGCCTCAACAAAATATGATTCTAATATTTAATTAATATTATTAAAATATTCGTCTTGAGATAAATAATCTTTTTCATATCGTTTCATTTAATTAAGAATTTATTCATTCTGAAAAATAAATCTTTTTATTTTGTCGAGACTTATTTATATTATTGTAAAGATGTTTCATCGTTGCTATTTTCAACACATTATCTTTCTTCAATTGATTAATCATTATGTAGAAGTTTCAATTGGAGATGAAGAGATTTTCATTAAGTCGTTGGTGGCAACCCTGCAATTTAGGCATATGTCAATGTGGAATTAGAGAAGGGCAATATTTACATGTACAAACTCTGATAAAAAGTGTTTTTGCTGTTCTTTCTACTGACTATAAGACTCGCTTTGAAAATGTTAGATAGTGAAATGACTCTATTGTTTATTTGTTTCTCTCCAAGGCAAGACTTCTTCAGTTTAACTCTGAAATTGTCCAGAAAAAAGATTGTCTCGACGAAAAGAGAAAAAAAATTATGTTAATGAGAGAAGATAATTAATAGAGCTTCGATAAAATGAGAAGATATTGAAAAAGATGAATCATCAATAAATACATATCATTAAATAGAAAGAAAAAATAAATCCAACAAGTGTTTTAGATCTCTGATGATCACACCTGTTATTAATAAGTATTAAAATATGACCATTTATTAAATAAATAAAGTTTATATATATAAAGGAGTGCTCCAGAAATTCTCATCCATAGTACAATCTATAGACCTGAAGCTTTCTAGTTATGTAGTACTAAGCATGTTCAATAATCTTCCTAAGTTTCAAAGATTTTGCTTTTATTGAATGCAAGAACGATCAATTTTAAGAACGTGTCAGAATTTCTGGAACACAGTTTATACTAACGACGGAAGTACCCCAACTGATTAACTGCTTTTCAGCCCATACTTTGGGCACATAGAAGGGATCTCTAGGTTAGAATAATCCTAAAAGGATTACTCTACCAATGATTTTTATGGGCTGAGATATTGAATTTTCAGGTTTTAGAAGATAAGAAGGATTTCGATCCTCCATTATGATTATTTCGAAAACAAAAATGTGCTATTAACTAGAAATTCCATGATAAACTGACTGCATCATCAGCAAATTACTGTGAAATTTCTAGATTTTATTTCATTTCTATAAACCACACTGTTCTTTTTTCTATTATATCAATCATCATTACAGAGGTAGTGGTCCACGAATGAGACGAGATCACGTTTTCCGTCCATTTGTCTCATCTAAATCTTTTTTGATCTCGGACTATTGATCTTATCAATGAGAGTCAAAGGTATATGCCGCTGTCCAAGGATGGAATATTAGTAAAATACGCTCTAACCTGCTCCAATCCTCGTTTAACTCGAAGATATTATCAATCGATAGAGCTTAAAATTCTCGACTCAGGAGACTTCACTCTAAGCCATTTTATTTAAAAAACTTCGAACAAAAAGAAAAATCAAATATCATTTCAAACAGTCTATTCTGAGCCACTCCAACTCACGCTGATTCATGATCATTTACAATGGAAAAATTTGTGTTGTCAATTGATAAGATTAGACATATTCGGATCAAATTAAAATTCTCACCGTCAAACTAATAAATTGAAAATATGAGCTGCTATTGACTTTTCCACGATCACGAAAAAACAAAAATAGACTCTACTGAAATTTTGAATTACAGACACCTTACATAAACTGTACATATTAGAATAAGACTATCTCCGTCCCTACAAGTTAACAGTAGCTCATATTTTCAATTTGTTAATTTGACCCGAATATGTCTAATCTTAGTAACTGATAACACAAATTTTCCATTGTAAATGACCATGGATTAGCGTGGATTGGAGTAGCTTAGAATGGATCGCTTGAAATGATATTTGAGTTTTTTTTGTTCGGAGTTTTTTAAATAAAATGGCTTAGAGTGAAGTCTCCCGAGTCGAGAATTTTAAGCTCTATCGATTGATTATATCTTCGAGTTAAACAGAGGTTGGAGTGAGTTAGAGTAAATTTTGGTAATACCCTAAGGATGTAAGAGACTAGAAATACCAGCTGACACTACGTCACGTATTTGACCACTTGACATCTACTTCAACAGACAATGAAAGTTGTTCGTTCGATGTATATTCGTTGATATTCAACTTGACGATATCGTCATTAACTTATCTTAACAAAATAATATAGTACAGTTGAATTCTCTTATTGACAATCAATTGTCGTCGCCTCAATTCATACCTATGATAAAGTATGCATGAGTCGCATCAGGATACATCGATCAGCATCCAGGAGATTTTAAGTCTATCTAACAAAGTTTGGTCTAATGTTGATGCTAATGTTTGCAAACAGTTGAACTATCGTTTATTATGATTTATTCAATGCAGTCATTGCTGAAAATCACTCTGCGTTGAATATGTCTTTGAAGCTTATCTCACTATCATAATTAGATATGAGCTATCTTCTAGTGTGATGCTATGATATTTTAAAAAGTGATATCTATAAAAACTTCATTTTGTTCTGTCTAGGATTCCAAGAAAATGGCTGTGACTTATAGAAATGAGATAAAATCTGTAAATTTCATAGTAATTTGCTGATGATGCAGTCAGTTTATCATGAAATTTCTGGTTAACAGCATATTTTTGTTTTCAAGATAATCGCAATAGAGAATCGAAATTCTTTCCATCTGCTAAAACTTGAATATTCAATATCTCAGCTGATAAGAACCATGGATCCAAATCCTTTTAGGATTATTCTAGTATAGAGGATCCCTCTATGTGCTCAAAGTATGAGTTGAAAAGCGGTTAATCACTTGGGATACTTTCTCTGTAAGAAAAGAATATTTATGCCAAATATCATGTTTTGAATTTTAAGATGTCACATCATATTTCAAATGTGAAAATTGTTCCTATATTTAATGTTCTACAGGGTGGTTCAAAAGTAATTGGACAGTATTTGATTGCGAATAACTTTTGATAGGGATAAGACAGAGAGTTGTGATTTTCACTATTTGAAAGAGGAGATGAAGACGCATTGAACTATATAATATAAGTTAATTTGATTCAGTTTTTTCAAGGATCTAACGTGACGTTTTTGAAAAGCAATATACTCTGTAAGGTGACAAGACTGAATTTATTCTGATAAAGTGTGCATTCGAACCGCTAGTCGAAAACCGACAAAACTGTACAAAGGCCAGACTTTGAAAGTTACTTCTATAGAAGTTGTAGGTATTCTACTCAAAATTCTGAGCCGATTTTTCTATTAATTTCTGTGAAAAAATCACTTTTACGCGTTTTTCTTATTTTATTCGAAACGATTTTTTTCGCAATCTTTTTAGAAAAGTGACTAAGAAAACTCTAGGACACATCTTACAAAACACATATAATATATAATTCTATGTATCCTCATCTCCTCTTTCGAACAGTGAAGACCGCAGCTGTCTATCGTTATTCATATGAAAATTTATTCTCAATGAAAGACTGTCAAATAACATTTGGATCACCCTGTATATTGAAATGGTAGTGAATTGATGTTCACTGTGAATTAGCATTGAAAATAACAAGTTTCATTACTCAATCAATGATTTGATATAAGATATATTGATATTATATTTAATATAAAATAAATTTAGAGTGATGAATGTGATACCGATATAGGAACAGGTAAACTATAACAAATTTTCAAATGAATAAATTTTGAAATAAATTGTTTAAGGTATTTATTTAACAAAAAGTAATCGTTCACAAATCGATAATTCAAATGTGATTGATAAAAATTTGCATATAAAACGAACAAGTTCACTTGTTTCATATCCACATAATGAATTAGTTAATTCATCATCTAATCAAATAATGACAAATAATATTTCATTACAAACACCAATATTTCAAAATTTACCACAAAGACGATTAAAAATTCTTCATCGTTTTCAACAAGAAAATCCTAAATCATTAAATAGAAATGAAATCGATGAAATAAATAATATATCACCATCAATAATAACAATGCCACATTTTATGGAATTTACAAGACGTTTAAGTCGTTCATCATCAATTAATGATAATGATATAACAACAATCGATACACAAATTGATTCAAATACATTTAATTCATATAAAATACATGAAACACCTATTTTACATACAAAAAATTCGATTAATAATTCAAATATTAATTTAAAAAGAAGATTTTCACAAAAATTAAATAATCATCTTCTTAAACAACCATTAACTTCAATTGATTATATAATTAAAGAACGACCAATTAATTCTATACAAGATAACAATTATCAGAATCAATCAAATGAAACTCAACGTCTTAATCAAATTCTTAAAAAACAATTTTATTTACCATTTGAAAAAAACAAAAGATTATAAACCATTTTTTTTATGTTTATTTTCAAGTGAATTTACATTTTTTTTTATTTTATATTTCTTATTAAAATAAAATACACTTTTCATTATAATGATAATATCTCATTTTTATTATAAAATTCATAATAAAATAACGTATTCATTTATGTTATATTATATACAAATATACAATCTTCATGGGAATACTGAACAATGAATCGTCAACAGAGGATCCACTGAAGTACTTACTAAACTACGCATTCGCCTTTGCTACAACATTGAAACATCAACTCTATGAAAATATGCCTCTTTTTTATAGTGATGTCTTTCAATGATTCAATCAACACTGATATCAGTCTGCACTAACTTACACTCAGTCGGTATCATTAGGGATCTCGAAAGTGAAACTGTATATAGGCAATATAAGAGGATTCATATTAGAGATCGACATAAAAATTCATATATTGTTTTATCTTCCATTAATATTTTATTAGAAGTTCAACCAATCATTTGATAGACATTGAAATATCATAATAGAGTTCTCGGATTGTCCTTTTTCGATAGGTTAAGAGCTCGATATTCGGTTATTTCGACGATCAATCTCCAAGGATGTCAAATTTGATCAAAATAAAAAAGATTTTGCCTGATAGATGCTTTATATTCTCAAGTCGTCAAAACCTGTCGAATATACGCGGACGAGAAGATTTGGACATGAATACTTATGATTAACTTTCATTGAACATCTAAACTAAATATAAACTATTATTCGTCTATGAAAGTCATCTTTTCAATTGATAAAAACAGTAGAATTTCACCATCCACTTTCTTATTGTAACATTTGCTATTATCTGAAAAAAAAAATCATATTTTTTTTTTATTTAAGAGAAAAAAAAAGTTTTTTCACATCTCTCGATCAAAGAAAACTTTCCTTCAATTTGAGATTTGATATAAAAAGCGTATTTGATAATCAATTGATTTGTGTAATAAAATATTAAAGAAATATTTCGAAATTTTTTCAAAAGTTCAAAACGTAAAAATTGATTATGACTGTGTCTTCACAGAGAATGTTGATGGATTTCGGTCATAATTTTCAACATTTTATTTTAATTATTATTTAGAGAATGATAAAATTAACATGAAATATATGTCGAACATAATAAATTCTAGTAAGATTGTTCAATAAAAGTCAAAAAAATATTTCAAAATTGCCTTTTGAACAAATTTTATCTTATCAAAAGTAAACTCATCAGTTGAAACTGTTATTGTACTTGACTAACTTTTAATGAAATTCTCAAAAGTATTCTTTTGATATGTTTCTTTTCGTCGAATAGTCGAAACTCCGATAGATTTCCTCATGGAAAATATTTTAAACTTCGACGAGTATCGACGTGTCAAAAATAAGTGGCCAATAGAATACAATTTTGAAAGGACTCGAAATTGCACTAGAATAAATAAGGAATAAAACTATTTGAAATTTTCGACTACTGGTTATATCCATAGTACACTTTTCAATATCTTCTAGGGATTCAATCATATAACAAAAACTATTTTAAAAATGATAATAGTTCTTATGTTTATATAAAATGTAATATCTTTTTTCTAGTAAATACTTTGATTGTAAATTGTCATACGGGTTAAAAGATAGAAACAAACAAAGAATTGTAGTTCCAATCTAGTTTCAGATTATTCGATTCATTTTTTTTCAGTGTAGTAAATGAACTATTTTATATTTATTGAATTCTTTTTCAAACAATAATTTCAATATAATAATTGTCATTTAAAATGTAAATCAATAGTAAACATTTTTTTAATACTAAATTACAAGAGGTTTAAGTGAATATCCAACAATTGAAATTGTTTTGCTATTAGTAATTTTCAATATTGTTCTATAAAAGAGTTTTTCAAATAAAATCATCAATGAAATTCTTTAAAGATAAATTTCGAGAATAATTCTCGTATTCATACTATAAAATATATGAGACGCTATAAGATAAAATGTATCAATCTATATAACTAAATAATATCTGTCTTTAAATAAAAATAAAAATGATTCGAATAAAAGTCTATTATCTGTTAATTAGATAATTATTTCACATAATTGAAGCTATTCATACTAGATAAATATATTATTTTACTCTGTTGATGTCCACCATTTAGGGATGTTTCCTAGCGAAAGTGTGCTTGCAATCTTGAAAAATCTTCGTTTTTCTCCATCGGAGCTTTAGTGTTTTATAGTTTTTCGCTCACTGACTCGAAAAACATTGATTTCTTCTTCGAAAACTCAAATAACTTGATAAAAAATCTTCCAATCGACCTTGTGAATGATCAGCTCCTTCAATCGTAGCTAGTTCTCGACACTTCTATGTTAATTGTCTATTAATCTTAATAAAATTGTCCAATAGTATTATCTCTAAAGCAAAAACTAAAAACCTCAACGAATGACTTGAAGTATTTTTGTTTAAAAAAAAACATGTAAGAAGATATTTATGTGATGTTGATTTGTATTGATAACGATAGATAGACGAGAAATGTCCATATGTTAAACATAAAAGAATATAATTGCAGAAAAATAAATCTTAATAATAGATGTCAATTGTTCTATATAACAAACGATAACATTAATAAAACAATTAAATCGCATTCCAATCTTCATTAAAAAATGACTTATTCAATTATATATATATTCTCTTAGAATTTAAACGAATAGATCTATATCAATTGGAAGTATATGGAATTTGTTGTAAGTATTATCAAATCATATAAAGATAATATTATTGTTAAAGATGATCTTAGTTTTAAAATGAACACTTTTTGAAATATATTTTATCTTTAAGAGAAAATATTTTTAATTAACGAATAAAAAAAGAAATGCACCAATAGAATATTCTTTTTTTTCTTATATCTGTTCTAATAACCTCTTTCCAAGACAAGAATGGATCACTTTTCATCTTCTCTTCCATCATAAATAAATATCAACAACCAATCAACATAAGATACGATAATAAAAAAAACAAAAAAAACAAAAAAAGAAATCTTGTTGTTCTCTATTTTTATATAAAAGATGTGTGTGAGACGATGACTAGTTCTATATTTACTTGTCAGTATTAGATCAACAATATAAAAATGTTTATATGATATGTTAAAGAGATGAATATAATCGTTTACATATAAACAACTATAGAAGATAATTATTCTTATAGGATATATATAAAAAAAAAGAAGAATTAAATATTGAATTAAATGAAATTTTTTAATTTAATAAACAATAAATGAAATGGATTATAATTCTTCATCAATTCATATTGAAGATTTCAATAAAACAAAATTAAATTCATTAATTAAATCGAATTATTCATCAAGATTAATCAATAATAGTCAAACTCAATCAAATTTAAATTGCCAATTAACACATATAAATATTCATGAAAATACTCAAGATCAAACTAAACATCCTAGAATATATTTAGAACGTCGATTAAATCCTAAATCATCTAGATCAAAACGACAACAACAACAACAATTAGAAAGAATCTCAAAAAATGATTTCGAAAAGCAACGTTCTATTGCTAATGTACGTGAACGACAACGTACACAATCATTAAATGATGCATTTGCACATCTTCGTCTTATTATTCCAAGATTACCATCAGATAAATTATCAAAAATTCAAACATTAAAATTGGCAACACGTTATATTGATTTTCTTTATAAAATATTACATTCAAATAATCAACAAGAATATTTTATTTTTCATAAAGAATCACCATCAACAACACAATTTAAACAAAATACATTAAGTTACGCATTTTGTATTTGGCGTATGGAAGATGCTTCCTCAATTCATCTATTTACAAATAATCAAGAACATAATTATATTGATCATTTATCATTTTATCCTGATCATTATTAACATAATTAACATATCTATTATTTCATCTATTTCTTTGTTTTTTAAAAAAAATTCTATTTTTTTCTTTCATCATATTGTTATTTTTGTTTTTTCTTCTTTGTCATTGTTGTTGCAAGTCAAGATCTAAAGAATAAGTTTCTTTTTTTTCGTATCTTGTCTCATGCAGAGAAAGAAAAAAAAGAAGAACTCTTGTAATTAGATGTTTACTTTATTTCGTATATTAAACAATAGATGATAAACATCATTGAAATTTTTTTGTTATTTCAATCGTATTAAACGTCATATGAGAATCGTTGTTTAACTCTACAGAGATAAAACTAAAGGAAAGAACATATTGACATTATATATATAGAGAGAATGATTGTCTACAAAGAATTAATTATGCTGATAAAAACATTTATAAGAATCTCTCCGATTGTAAATTCTAATTGAATAAGTTCGAATAATTGCTAATTGTTCTTTGTGATAATGAATTTTTTGAAAAGTTAAAATAAATGAAACTTATATTAGAATTTTATAGGTTGAAGAATATTGTCTTATCACATTTTTGACTAATAATATAGCATAAACATTCTCATAGAGTAATTATGTGGATTAGTTTGTCATTTAATTTACTATTTCAGTAGAGAAAATATTCTCTTATCAATAATATAAAATATATTTGTTATCTTATTCTATGAAATTATTAATCATATACTTACTCAATAAGAATAAAATACTTGAAAAACAATATTTCAAAAAAAAAAAAATTAGTTATTTTATTATTTAAAAAGTATATTTATTGATGAGATAGTTGTTTATTTGTGAAATGACGAGATTGTCATTCAATATATTAGTTTTATTTTTCGATTATTTGAAAAGTATAATATTGATTTACCTTTTTATTATAAAAATCTTAATAAAATGATCATTCAAATGTGTAAAAAAGATCTCTATAGAAAATAATATTTATGTCTATAAGTTAATCAAAAGAATAAATGAGGAATATATTTCAATGATAAAAATCAAATAAGTTGAAATATTTTCGAATGAATCAAATGACTTCAAACTGCAGTTATTTATCTATCCCAAACGGAGAATATTAAGACAATTTGATATTTTAGAATATAGACAAGCATCTATCGATAACACAGAACAATCATATTAATATAGAACATAAATAGCAAAAAAAGTAGGATCAATCATCTACAGATGTCTTGACAAACTAACCAGAGAAAAAAAAAACAAGAAAACGTGCAAATTGTTACTCAACTGAGATTATCACCAGCATTAATGCTGGTTTTTCTACTAAACAATGAAATAATATTTCGATCGAATATCTATATGTGAAATGTCTCTCTAAAGATTATTCGATACAAAATCTTGACATTCAATATAAAGAAAAATTGATAGTATTAGTATAACTTATGTTTGAGGAGATAATAATAATTATTGTTGACACGTTTGTCTCCTGTTTTACGATTAATTCAATGTTTGGTAAGAAGATTTTCTAATATCAATAAACAATATAATTGACATGAACAATTGATAATCTTCATAGATCAATAATATAAAGACATATGAATATATGAATTCTATATCCTATTGATCAGAATATAGAGATTTATTTTGAATAGATTTCATCATGAAACTTGTACCTCAAATGGTAATTGTGTTCATTTATCAATTCAGTAAATGATCAATGAAATTTGAGAAATTATTATTAAAATAAAGTATGACTAGAATTAAACAATGATTTATTGAAATCAATATATTAGAAAACAATATTTAATCACCTTTTCAAACAAAATCTTAGGAAAAAGAAAATCACAATCTTTCAATATTTATATATTGACAAAAGATCATATGGAATAAATCGAGTATTATTAAAAATAATCAAAGATAATATATTTTATAGAAATTTCTCATTGAAAGAAAATAATATAATTAATCTATCGTTCCACTTGATTTACTCTTCAACATAGATGAAAAGTAAATGTCTTACTTTAAATAAACAATTATTTTATTGTTATGTCGAATAGAATTTGTTTATATTACAATATATTTTATTATTTTATATTATATTCAAACAAAATAAGATCAATATATAGAACGACAATGATCATCTATCAATATATACTAATAAGCAAAATGACATCGAAATAGACTAGTTTTTTATTTTTTTTTTATAATGAGAGTATTTATTTCATTGTTTATAGTTACTCTTTTGATAAAACGGGAGATAGGCTAACATTTCAATAAACAAATACATATTCAGATGAGAAAAAAAGATAAACATTTTTCATTGGTCTCATTTTGAATAAATAAAATGAATAGTTTTTACAAATATTCTAAACAATTTTTTATATTTATGCTTGTCGTGGTTCTAATTTATTTGATAATTGATTAAGAATACGTTGATTATCGATAATATTCATTTCACTATATCAAATAAAACATAATTTTATTTATTTTCGTATTCAAATCAACTCATACAAACCGAACATATTCTTGAATTTCGAACAGATTTTTTGCACCTTGTGGAATTTCTAATTCTATATAAATCAAATATAATAAATTAAAATCAACATCTTTTTTTCATTAAAGAAAAAAAAAAAAGAAAATCTCTGCTGTGAAGATATTATTATCAATATATGCATCATGCTGAGCACTTATCTCTATATATCATAAACTCTCCACGGACTCAAACATTTATCTATCATTATCAATCGCCATTTAATCATTGTCTCAATATGTATTCGATTTTTTAATGTTATTCTTTAATGCATATTTATGTGTTTCTATACAAAAATTTTAGGACGAGAAATATTTATCGAATACGAATTGTTTTAGTAGAGGCAAACATTTTTCATTCGATTAACAATTTATCATATTTTCAGATAAAAATACGAATTATCTATAGAATTTACGAGGAAAGATCTCCAAATGATCCATGACTTTTAAATCGAGACTAAGCGCATTGTGTAAGCCATAATGAGTTATGAATACCCTGAAAAGAGTTCGAGCATATCGCTTATTACTACCGAGATACAACATTTTTATGGTATTTTCTAAGCACAGTGTCGTGGTCTCCCCTCAGAAAAACATAAGAAAAACAGAGTTTGGAATTGCGACTTGAAACTGTGTATAGTGACAGACCTTCATGAGAATAATTTATTGTGAAAGTTTCAGATTTCTTGGTTGTTCGTATCCTACGATACAGTTATGATAAAAGCATGCTTGTACACCTTGCATACCTACGGGTAGATTCCGAGGTTCTTATTTCAGAATAGGAGCAATTACAAAATCTGAAATTTTCACAATGAACTATTCTCATGGAGGCCTATCACTATACAAAGTTTCAAGTCGCAATTCCAAACTTAGTTTTTCTTATGTTCCTATGGGGAGAACCACGGCATTGTGCTTAGAAAATACCATAAAAATGTTGTATCTCGGTAGTAATAAGCCACGGGCTCGAACTCTTTTCAGGGTATTCATAATTCATTATGGTCTACATAATACACATAGTCTCGACTTAAAAGCAATGAATCACTTGGGGACCTTTCCTCGTTAGTGGATCTAATATTTAAGGATTCAAACTCGATAAATAAAATTTTAGAATAATTCAGTAGCTAACAACAAATTCTGACTGTATCAACTGAATTTTTGGAGGGAGGGTCTTCTCGTTACCTCCCACCATAGATAAAACATGATTCAATAGAACTTTTAGAATATATCACAATAAATATTTATCTTAATATAATAACAATTTTTCTTATTTTGTGAAATTCATTTAGATTTCTGAAGAAAATAGTGAGTACTTATTTCAAGTCGAGATTTTGATGATCGTTCTTCTCTTATACATGTTACCAATCGGGAACAACAAGTATTAGACTCTTTTGTTATAGTTTCTCCACTATCAAGCTTTATTTTTAATAAAATAAATGTAAATATTTCATCTCAAATAACTTACGTAATGGTTGACTACGACAAATTTTCATCGTACGCATTGTATGAGACAGCATTCTCTGTACAAAAACAAATTACAATAATTACTTAGGGGTATCCAAAAGTAGTGGCAGTGACCTTTTAGTACCGTATAGTAAGTTTGAGAAAACTTTCTTTTTATATAGAATGTTAGAGAAAAAAATGCTCTTTCTTTCTATGCTATCTGATCATACTTCAATTGATATCATAATAATAAAGTTCTAATAAGACCAATTTGTCTATCATGTGTTATGGTTATATTAATTCATATTGTCTCCAATATGTGTTCTTTTCTTGATCTTCTTTTCTTTATTCATTTCTCTTGTCTCTTTCTAGATTTTATCGTTTATTCGTATGTACATAAAGACACCTATCTTTTTTTGTGCATGTGCCGTTTATCATCATATTCTATAGAAACTGAAAGAAATAAAGTTAAATCGAGTCTTAACACTCTTCATTTGTATCTTAAGTGAATAAAGAAAATTTTTGTCTTTACACTAAAGTGCGTACTGCACTTAATATTATTCAATCAACAACTATTTATGATAAGCTATGCACTGCTTTTGGTGATGAGGCATTTTCCTTTCGAACTTTTGCAAGATGAACTCAATGGTTTCGTGAAGGTCGAGAAGAAATCGAAGATGAAGAACGACCTGGTAGATCTGTAGTCGAGAGCACTGCTGAAAATATTGAACAAGTTCATAGTATTATTAACAATGATTCTTATCTTACAATAGAAGAACTGCAAGAGCAAACTGGTCTACGTTATGGCACCGTACATAGAATATTATGTAATCATTTGAAACTTAGAAAAATGACTACTCGTTACATACCTAAACAACTAACAGATTCTCAACGGAGTGAATGAGTTCGAGTATACAAAGAAAATCTATCAAGATTTGAAGAAAGAAGATGGCGATTATGTGACATAGTAATACGTGATGAATCGTAATTTTATCATAAACAAACTGATCGAAAATCATTGAATGTTGCTTAGATGACAAGAGAAGATCCTTCACCTACAATAGTTCGACGAAATAAGTTTGCTATAAAAACTTTATTTTGCATTTTCTTTAAATCAACTGGTCCCATTCTAATCCATCATGTTGAATGTGGACAAACTATCGATCACCAATATTACATCGAAAACTGTTTGCAACCTGTTATCCAAGAAATCAAGAAGTAAAGACCTCTATCAAGTATTCATGCCATTAGAATTCATCATGATAACGGAAAACTACATGTTCACAAAGATATTTTCGATTATGTTCGATCAGAAGGAGTTGCCATAGTACCACAACCATCTAATTCTCCAGATATATCACCTTGTGATTTTTGGTTATTCGACTTGATCAAACGAAACCTAAGTGATTAAATAGATTTCAAATCGTTACATCATGCTATAACCGAGTTCATGTGTCCTTTGGATAAAGAAGAGTATAAAAAAACATTTGATAAATAGATTCAACGAATGCAGTTGTGTGTAGATAATCAAGGCGGTTTTATTGAATATTTAATGGAATAAAAACTTGTTGAACTTGTTTATGTATTTTGTATTTTTGTGTACGTTAATATGAATAAACGATAAAGTCTTGAAAGAGACAAGAGAAATGAATAAAGAAAAGAAGATCAAGAAAAGAACACATATTGGAGACAATATGAACTAAAATAACCATAACACATGATAGACAAATTGGTCTTATTAGAACTTTATTGTTATGATATCAATTGAAGTATGATCAGATAGCATAGAAAGAAAGAGCATTTTTTTCTCTAACATTCTATATAAAAAGAAAGTTTTCTCAAACTTACTATACGGTACTAAAAGGTCACTGCTACTACTTTTGGATACCCCTAAGTAAAATGTTTTTAAAAAAATTTTTTTTCTTTACCATTTTTTCAAAATTAACTAAACCTTCATTTAAATAAGTTTTACTTCCTTCGTGAATAAAAGTTAAATCTGAATAGATAAAAATAGTCAAAATTTATTTTTCCAAAAATAAAACAAAAGTTAACCTTTAATTAAAAGTGGCATAAAAAGTATAATCGGTGGTGTTAATTTAGTTAATGTTGAACGATAAATTCGATGATTTCGCGATGGATCCATTAAAGTTTCAAATTCTGAAAACATACGTTTTATTTTATTTGGTAATCTCTATTTTACAGAATAAATAAATAAATAAATAAATTTATTTTCGAAATATTTTTGTTTTGTTTTGTTTTATTTAAAAAAGCTTAACTTACTTCCCAAGTAAGAGATAATCGGCTAACAGCTATGTTACTTAAACCCATCATAATAGCAAAAAATGCATTTAAATTTCGAAATTCTTTACAACTAATTAAAGAAAAAAACAGTGAATAAATATTTGTTTGTTTGTATTGTTTTTTTCGATTTAATAAAACTAACTAAGATGCTATTTTAATAAATTTTCTTAAAAGTTGAACACGTTTACCAGAAGTTGGTGTTAAACATATTTCTGTAACAACCCAATATTGTATTTCATTAAATCTTCTCATAAATCTATCTAAATTAGCTGTGATTTTTCCAAATTTATATCGACCAAATACTTGATATAGAAGTTCATACTAACAAATAAAATATTTTTTGTTATTACATTATATTGAAGAGTAAAACAATTGTTTTATACTTGATTTATAGCCATAAATAATTGATAATCATGCATTGTTATTGCATAGGCTAGTTCTTTTGAACCAAACATTTCTAATTTTTGCCATGTACCTCTTGAGAAACTTGATTGTTCAGGTAAAGGTACCTAATTTTAATTATATTTCATCATTGTACTTAAATTAGTACCTGAAGATATTATTACGGCTAAGGATATTTATAAAAGCTGATTCGAAAGATTGATGAGATTTTATCTATCGATCATAAACTTGAAAAAATGGTTAAAAATCACTCATTTTACATCGGAATTTTGTCTAGTTGAACAACTCTTTTCATCACATTGCTTCAGTCATATATACATAAACTTCCCAACTTACTGATCGTCTTCAGAAGATATAAAAAATTGACTCAAACATCATATTATATTTTACAACAAGCTTAGCACATTGATGAATGGATTGCGAAAGGTACTAGTCACCAATCAATGACTTGCTAGAGATTTGTCAATTGTTAAGTGATACAAAAATTCGAACATTTTTTATAGAGCATAACAAAGTATTACTATAACCAACTGCAGCAACTGACGGATAGAAAGAGAAATGTCAGAAAATTAATAATTAAAAGCAGAAAAACTAGTTTTATTAATCTCTATTTAATTATATCTCATTTGAGATACAATCATAAACGTAATTCTTATTGTCTCTATTCTTACGAGTGACAACTGATCTTGCTGAATTAAAGATCGAAAATTTTGTTTGTATCTTCATTAGATCTAATGAGGAAACATATTCAACTACTGGACGCCGTTTGGCTCCTTATTTTGGCTATGAGTGAGATTAAGAAAATCCTATAAGGGTTCGTGCTCATAGTCTTTTAATCAAGAGTTATGACCATTTCATTAATTTTTCAGCTTATCTATTGGTATGTGCCAAAAAGTCAAATTACATGGTTTTGATCTGAAATTTTGCGTAAATTTAAGTCTCATTATTCTGAAAATTTCAGCCAAAACCAACGTTCCTTTCTTGAGGTATTGTATTTTAAAGCGGACTCGATTTTTGGGATCGTATGTATGACAAGTATCCAGTTTTTGAAAATTCGATAATTGAAGTAAGAAACGTTGGTTTTGGCTGAAACTTTCAGAATAATAAGACCTAACTTTAGGCAAAATTTCAGATCGAAACTATCTAATTTGATTTTTTGGCACATACCAACAGATAGGCTGAAAAATTAATGAAATGGTCAGAACTCTTGATCAACAAGCCATGGGCACGAACTCTTCTAGGATTTTCTTAGTCCCACTCAGCCAAAATAGAGAGTCGAACAGCATTGGCAGTTGAATATATTTCCTCGTAAGTGAATTATCTTTAGAAAAAAAATTTGAGGAAACTTCGTTCGAGTGATTTGAAGAAAGGCTATTTAGAGGATAATATGCAATCAGCCTGTTTTATAAAATCTTTGACAAAGACATTCTTCAGATCGGTGAATTAAAATCTGCCTAAATGTTCTTTTTCTCAAAGACAATTCACATAGGCTTATATAAGAGGGTAAGCAAAAATTTAAAATTTTCTAATTGAACAGAATCATATATGACTTTCGTATAAATGGAAACTTTCTTATCAGATGCTAAGATATTGGCTAGTACACATTGAAAATGGCTCAAAATTCAACTGTTCATCTAAAACGACGTGTTCTATAAGATGGAATAAATTTCACATGAATATAAAAGTTTTATTGCTACCGATAGATCGCACCTCTACGTACAATAATTTTTAGATGCATATTTATCTTCTATATTTATCTATGAGAATTATAGTTCGTTATACAGAGTGAATAATTCTCTTTCTATTGTTTTCCTCATCTTTGATATTGTTCGATAGATTTTACTTTATCGTTTATAAATTTCATATAAAGAAGAGTATACATATGAACTTTAAAACCTATTGCTTCTTTATTGAATTATTCTTTTTTTAATCTGAGAAAAAAAAAGTTTTACTTTCTTTAGATATTATAGATCGAATAATAATGTATCTATATATAGATAATGGATTATTTTAAACATACCAAAGCATCAAGATGATCACTGGGTGCCAAAAAAAGTCGTCCATTTAATGACAATCCATAAGAAATACTTAAATCAGTTTCTTTATATAGAATTCGTTCTAAAAACAAAGATTCTCTTACATATTAAACCTATAATACAACAAACCTCCAGTAGATTTAACTTCACATAGTTTTAAATCATCTGGTTGATCAGAACGTAAACCTAATTTATCTGCTGCAACTCTTATTATTTTTGCAGCTGGAGTATCAACTCTCATTTTCATTGTTGTATATGTATGATCAGCACAATAAACTTTAAAAATAACTATTAGAAAACAAATATATATGTTGGAGTAGAAATTAAAATTCAGTAGAATTTAAAATTCTACTAGTAGAGATTAAAATTTCAATTTCTACTAGGAGAAATCGAAATAACAGGCGATTTTAAGTTGCACTAGTAGAAGTTAAAATTTTAATTTCTACTATAGGAGAATTTTAAATTCTACTAGAAACTTATACTATAAAATTATGCGAATTTCCCCTAGAATAGAAAATAAAATTAATACTTATTCTAATTATGCAATATGTCGAACGAAAAGAAAAAAAAAGATTTTAGATATTTAATTTGAACTCCTCGCGTCAGTATCAAAAGAAAAAACACTTCAATATGATATAAAATAGAACCATTTTATTCGAAATTTGATAAGCATATATAATCTTTAGAAAAAGATTTCTTTTAAAGTGCTTATCACACAAATTGGTTACAATAGCATCATATTGGTAATAAAAGATGGTTAGAGTGAAGCTCAGTTTAAATTCTAAATCAATAAACACGTTAAATTAGTTACTATTAGTGAATTACAAGTGGATTTTGGCATTAAATCAAATAATCTAGTGATCACCTACGAGTTAATTTTATTTTCTATTCTAGGAGAAATTTGCATAATTTTATAGTATAAGTTTCTAGTAGAATTTAAAATTCTCCTATAGTAGAAATTAAAATTTTAACTTCTACTAGTGTAACTTAAAATCGCCTGTTATTTCGATTTCTCCTAGTAGAAATTGAAATTTTAATCTCTACTAGTAGAATTTTAAATTCTACTGAATTTTAATTTCTACTCCAACATATATATAAATGTATAAATTGTTAATGTATTGTAACCTTCATCCGATTGTCGAATAATATTTGGTTTATCAATATTATTTCGTTGTTTCCATGGTAATTTTCTTAGATGGATATCTTTATATTCTCTATAAAATAAAAATGATTTAATATATATAAAATAAAATGAAATAAATCATACGTATCATTTTCAATAATAGATTTAATTAATGTAATTTCTTCTTTTAATTGTGGATAAATTTTCATATCCACAAGAATTAAATCATATAATTCCTTTTAATGAAAATAGAAGAAAATTTTTAATTGAAATAAAATATTGAAAAACATGAAAAAAAAAACATACATCAAGAAAAATATTTATTTTTGGATCTTCAAAAAATGTTTCTCTTGAAGCATCATACCATTCAAGTATAAATCTTATTACTTTAACTTTTTCTTGTAAAGCTAAACCAATATTTTCACCAAAACGTTGTTGTGGTTTAGCTTTATAAATTGAAAGTAATCTTGTACATATTTGATATATTGGCATAAAAATAACATATGTTGAAAGAAAATCATCAAGACTTGTATCACCTTCTTCATAATTTACACATAAATATGTTTCAAGAAAATATTCAAGCATTTTTTCAACTATACCAGACATAACAAAATATCTATATATATATATATACATATATAGTATAATTAATTATTTGGAAAGAAATTTGATTTAGTTTGTCAAATGTGAAAAAGATAATAAGATATTCCTTCTTTTATCTAAATATATATTAAATTCCGAATGAGAGATATTCACTAACAGATTGATTTATCGAAATTTTTATCAAAAACTAGTAACATGATAAATGTGAGAATATTATCTGAATATAATGAGTAAAATAATTAATAAATCCTAGTTGAAGTCTTCTTAATGAAATATTTTCGTAATTGTCATAGTTCTCAATCATAGAAAGAAACTTATTGATACAGTAAAATGTTATTGTAGGGATAAGAAATATTTGATGATAAGATCATTTTTGTAAAACTTTCTATTTCAATTGAGTTTTATAAAAAAAATCGAATTAAAATAAATCTGAAATAGCACAATGAAAAAAATGAAGATATTCAAACTGTCGATTAATGACTCTCTTTTTTCTGTATACATACTCAAATATATATGATCAAGAATACTAATTAATAATTATTGTTTCTAAATTGTTTTCTCATTTCAAATAAGATCTGACTAGTAGAATAATTATCATCGATATATATATAATTAGTTTCATAAAATTATTTTATTGTCACATTATGATTTCTTTGTTCGAAACTCGTATATTTTATTGTTGAATATTTCGATAGATTAAAATAATTGATTTAAGATAAAATAGTTTAAATATAATTGAAAATAAAAGGCAAATAAATTCTCATATAATATATGTAAACATACTTGTAACAAACTTGATATGTTCCATGAGCTGTTTTAACATTAATGGGAACTTTTTCAAGTAAAAGTACATCTTTTCCAAATTCTCTTAATTTAACTGTATTTGCTTCAACATCTCGAAGTATACGATTAAAATCATCTTTATCAACACGAAGAAAATGTGTATTATCTTCATTTAAAACAATTGTTGCTATTCTATATTTAACAAAAAGATAAATAAATTAAAAACAAAAAAAAAACAAATCTTCTTTTTTTATTTTAAATAAAATAAAACCTTGGTGAATTATTAACTAAACTTAATTTTCCAAAGTCATCACCTTGATGAAATGTTTCTACAATACCTTTACCATAAACAATACATTGAACTGAACCTTTTAATATAATATACCAAAATTTTCCTTGATCACCTTGTGTAAATACTAAAATATAGTAATAAATATGTCAGTTTTTCGTTTTTTTCTAACAAAAGAAGATCGTATAGTGGATTTTGAGAATATTGATTATATTCGAATAAAATAAATGGTCACATAACTAAACAAACTATTTTAAAAAGTGATCTATTCATAGAGTACACGGTTTGAGATATTCGAATTTCAACATATTTACAGTCAATGACAGTATAGTGACACTTCAAAATTTCATCAACATTTTATTTAGTACTTTTTTGTCATGGTTGAATAGAACTTTACGAGTTACATAAAAGATATTCAAAATCGGTTTTTCAACAGGCAGAATTTTGTATTTATTATCCTCATATTTAATAATAATCGTATATTGGACTTTTTTCCAAGATTGATTTTCAATGTGTTATTTAATTTTTTTCTTATGTAACTCGCCGAGTTCTATTCAAACATGACAAAAAAAAAGAAAAATGAATGGCGGTCAACTTGTAAAGTATGGCCAGGTGACACAGACTATAAATAGTCTTTTCTTTGCTTGTCCTTCTTTCAGAATAAAAAAAGCATGGCTTTCAATTGTGAACTAGGTTTTTGCTAATATTTACCTAAAAAATTGAGGCTTTTTCAAAAACTTTTCTCATATTGAAATAGGCGTTATTTGCAATTAAGTACTAGAAAATGAGCTTTTTTTCCTAGAAGAAAAAAAAACGTGATTTTAATTACGAAAAAAAAGGATTTTTACTCAACGACCAAGTTTTTAGCTGATAGAACCGTGAAAAATTCGGTGGATTTGTGAAAAAAGGTTTTTAAAAAAGCCATGACTTTTCTATAAAATTTTGTAGAATATATCTTGTGTATGATCTTCCTAAGAAGAATGGCTTTCTATTCTAGGATGTTTACCTTGATATTCGAATATTTCTATCCGTAGATTTTATAGAGAGATCAGATTTTAATTAAGTTAGTTTGAGAGTGAAAATATTGATCTGACTTGAATATGATCAATCTGGTTAATTTATAGTAAAGAAGGTTCCCTATTTTAAAATAAATCTAATAAATTATTCTTACAAACTTTTCCTTTAAATGGATGTGCTTCAAAAATAAGTACACCTGCTAATTCACGTTTAACCAAAGATGATAAATGTGATAATGCTTTAACATGTAATAATTGATCATAAATTATTTCTAAATCATCTATTGTTCGTTGATGACGTCTAGAAAAAAAAAACCAAAGTCAATTAAATAAATATATTTCATATATATAAAATAGTAACGGTTTTCTTAAAATCATTCTAAGCATAGCATCAGGTCCAACTTGAGCTAATGTTAATATAACATCAGCTAATTGTTGTTCACATTGATTTTGTTCGACATTGCTTGGTCTTATTAATGTTCGATCTTCATCTCCAGAAAAACGATAAAATAAATATTTATCTTTAAAATAATGTTCTTGAGAAACTAAAATAAATCAATATTAAAATATTAAAAAGAAAAAAAATGAATTTTTTTAAAATTTTGACCATGTGCAATAGCTCCTTCTTCAAGTAAGGCTTGCCACATATCTACAGCTTGACTACGTGAATGAACAACTAGAAATAAATAATAATAATAATAATAATAATAAATGTAAAAGTAAAAACTGACTAGGACTTTGATGAATAAGCCAATCGACCATTTCAGAAGCAACTAAACAACTTCGATGTATTTTTAAATGATATTTTCGATCACGAATCATTTGTGGTGCTTTACTAAGTATACATGTTCGTAATACATAGGCCGCATGTTGAATTCGCACCGATGTATTCTATTAAAATAAATATTTATTACATTTTCTTTCTTTTTTTTGTTTTTGAAAGAAAGTAAGTGTTTTTTTTTCATACAGGTACTATGGGTAATGCAGGATTTCGAGCTAAATTAAAATAAATTTATTTTGAAACAGAAAAAAACGGAAAAAAACTCTTAACTTGGATCATCTTTTAGAAGTTTATTAGTTGCTACTTGTGGTATGAGTGATGGATCGAATTCTGATGCACGTCGTTTTGGATCTAAATATATGCTTATCATGTTATTCGAACTGGACAAAAATATAGGTATAATAATGTGCGCTATACCGACGATATTCGTCGGTAATGAAAAAAAAACACTGGTATACCGATAATCAATTGACGGTTATTTTATATTTAAACGATTAGCTATTTTCTGATCGTCATTCAATATTGATATACCGATAGTTGTTCTTCGACCGTCAATTTCTATCCCGTATACCAGCGATAATTCGAACAAATGTGTAAGAGAGCTTTATTTTTGTAAATATATTCTAATAAATATCTAACCTAATGTATTGGTTAATTGACTAAGACTAGTTATGACTCCATGTAAATATTGTTTATTACGCTAAAAATAAAATATTTCTATAGAATAAAAGTAGAATATTTTTTTTCTGATTTACCTCCCATAAAATTTTAAAATCTTTTTGTTCAACTCGTAAAAGCATAACTGATGATGATGTTATTATAGTAGCATTCCGAGGTGTATCATATAAAATTGATTCACCAAAAGCAGCACCTGCTTCAAGACTACAAATAAGTGTATGACCCTAGAAAATAACTAAAAGTTAATTATCTATTTAGAGATAAATAAATAAATTAACTTTTCCATTTTCAGATGGAACACAAACATCAACATTTCCACTAAGAATAGCAAACCAATTAGCACCAAGATCTCCTGTACGAAAAACTATACGAAGAATATGGATTTATAAAAAGAAAAAAAAGTAGAAAAAGAAGAAAGAAAATTTTCTTACGTGTAACACCTTTTTCTAAATTTTCAAAATAACTATAATAACAAAGTTGTTGAATAAGTAATGGATGAAATTTTTCAAAAGCTTTAATATCTTTTAATTTGGAAAATATAATATCAAGATCATCACTTGTTCGATCTATTGGTCTAAAAAATAAATTATCAGGAATAAAATTTAAAAAAAAAAGTTATGTTAACAAATTTTTTACCGTTTATCCAAACGTTCAGTCCATTCAAGTGATAAAAGAATTGTTTGTGATTTATCTGTTAATGGTGAACCACTTAAGAATTTCATATTAGATAATTTTTATTTAAAGAGACACTTATGTATATATATATATATTCCATCTTAAAATATGTAGATCTTCAATAGATGTTCTTTATAGAAAGGATAATGTCAAACTAATAAAAAACGTGTGTAAAGGTTGATTAAATTATCTGGAAAAATTTTTTCATCATCTATTAAATAAAAGGGGAGCAAAAGAAAAAGAGCATAAAAATGATGTAAAGAAGTAACGCCCTTAATGAAGTTGTCGGTGAATGATAAAGGTTTATTTTTTTCTTGTTATTTTTTCATTGGTCTACTTTCTAATATATATGTTAGTGGAATTCATTGAGCTTATATAATCTTTAAATTGTATAGATATGCTAATTATTTACTCATAGAAAAAAGAAGAGGCAACTTTTCTATGTTGTCATTTGTTTTATTCGACTTGAATTGCATACATAAATAATAAATAACTTTGAATATATTTCTAAAAATAAATTTATTATAAAAGATTTTGTTTTTATATTATTTTAAAATAAACAAAAAAAATTAGCTGAAATACATAACAATATAGAGGTAAAGTTCTATTTACTTTGTAAATTGAAAGAAGATTATTAGTTGGTTTGATATGATTGTAAGAGTCTGTATTCTATACTGACAAATAGGATATGTTGTTAAACTAAAGGAGAATAGAGAATAGCGGAAAAGAATTTTTCCGTTTCCTTAAGTATCTCTGTTATAAAATAGAATACATTATTCGAAATAACAAATGAATCGATGGACTTGAATATAAATATAAAAGAGTAACTGATTGATAAATTCTTACAAATATATTTATCTTCTATTTTAAATTAAAGTTAATATGTTAATTCTATGCTTATTTTAAATATAATTATATAATTATATATGATTATTTCAATATTAGAAGAAGATACTTGCTCAAGGACATTTTCTTTTTCTTAAAGATTATTTACAATTTTATATGAACCATTAAAAGAAACATTTTGTTCTCTTCTAAATTTCTTATAGAATCATTATATAAATGAACTATAATTATCTTGAGTAATATTAGAAAAAAAGCTAATAGATTTTTGTAAAACATGATTATTAATTAACCGTAATAATATATGACAGCTTATAGAATATATGATAGAGCAGAATTAAAGCATTTTTCATCTTCACATCTATATTTACGTATAATGATTAATAGCCGTTAGGGATTCGAATGATTAACGTATTGAATAAGATATTATTAAAATCTTACCATTTATAATGAAACAAGCTTCATATGTACTTTAATCCTATAGAGATTTCTCTGACAGAGAGTTTTTTTTTATAAAAGAGAAAAAAAAACGAGAAATAGTTCCAAATCAAAGAAATATTTTATTGAATTTTCATATAAAAAAAAACTAATAGAAAATTCTGTTTGTACAGATAAAATAATTGACGATAAAATCATTGAGAATTATCGTAAAAAGGAATTGATTTGACATTGAATTGAAAATGCTAAGGTTATAATCTGTTCAAGAACAGCTATTTCAATAAGCATAAATAAGTCAACTTTGAATTGATCTACATCTTTTGCCTCTTTACAGACTTTTCATGAAATGTATTAATATACTGACAAGTAATGAGAATATATTGATCAATAAACTTCTATTTATAAGCTTCAAACTCTCGAAAAAAATAGAGAATAGAAAATTGATAATCTTCTGTAGCCTTGTTATTTGATAATGATTATTTCATCTTTTTTATATTTTCAAAATTTATTTCTTAAGATTTGCACTAAAAAAAAAAGAAATAGATTTAAAAATGAACTTAGAAAAAGAAAAATAAACTAAATTTAATCGTTGAACTATATTCTTGTATAATTCCATTTAGTTGATCATATTTCAAAGTAGATATAACTAGAAAAACAAACCAATAGAATGACGTTTTTCTAAGTAAAATTGCATGAGACAGTATCATTTTAACAAGATCATTTATTTATCTGCAAAATCAGATATTTGTAAACATTAATCTTCGATTAATTTATTTGAAAAGATCAAATATTTTTCAATATATAATATGCTGACAGTTCGAAATTGGAGCAAAATTTTGTTTTTGGCTTTCTTTTTAATCAGAGGATAAAGTTGGTCGAGTTACTTCTAAAAATGATCTTTGGAAAATATTCGAACAATGTTTTTATAGTGAAATTGAGGTTTAAAAAAATAAAAAAAAACATCAAGTCTTGCTAGGCTCAATATCTATTTCATATATCTTTTTGCTTTTATGCTCATCATATGATTAGGAAAAGTTTTATCCAAGCTTTTTGAAAAATATTGTTTCCTTATTGAAACAATCGGTTTTTTCGGTACGATAGAACAATGCCATAAAATAAGGGTTTGCACTCAGAGATTTTAATCATTAAAAGTTTTATTTCAAATGAAACGAACATCATATTGAGAATAAATAAAAAAATCTTGATCGAATAGGATACGCAATATGTGAACCAAATTTTCGTCGAATTTCGATTATCTCATTCCCTCACTGTTATTTTCGAATAACCTGACTTGTGCTTCTCCTAAAATCGAAATTTGACGAACATATGTTTTAAGTATTGAGTATCCGATTCGATGCAGATTTTCTTACTTACTATGGGGGCCAATTAATTTCCCCCCTACGTTATTTTTTCTTGTTTTGTCTATATTTCTTTTATTTATTAACCTATGAACTATAGCGAGGAAGTATGAGTTGTAGTGCATCTTGTGACATATTGTATCAGTGGCACCTGCACGTGTTGTTATTGACTACGTCTTCTGTTTAGTCTTTTTTCGCTTCCTTCTTTGTTCATATGTTCACATCCACGTGCTGAACGTATATATATGGGCGCGACCAACTGGCAGGAGACCCCAACACTCATTTATTCATGTAGGTTCATTCATCTATCAGAAAAACATGATCTTTTTATCACTTATACCACTTGTATAATGCTATTGATCTGTGACTATTTGAGACAGAGATAATAGTCAAATGAGGGTTATCAAGAACATCCTTATGATTATATGCTAAACATGCTTCACATCATATTTGTTGATATATTGTCCTCTGTATAAATTCCATGTACGATAATATTCTATCCATTCTGTCCTAGCGTCGTGTTCTCATTGGATCATTCTTGTTCGAATTGTGATCTTTTCGCTTTCCTTCGTTTCTTCGTTTTCTTTAACATACTTTCACTCAATAACAAACGTTTATCACCCTTGTATTATGTCTTCTTCACAAGTTAAATGAGATTGCTCTCAATGTGGATATGCTTCAAGTGATCGTCGTAAATATTGCACTGAATGCCACTCAGTACTAACGTGGACATGTACTGGCTCAGAAAAGTCCGGTCGGTATATGAATTATTATCGTCATCGTGACAATTGTAGTTATTGTACACCAGAACTTGCAGAAGTAAAACAACACGAAATGGAAGAGAAACAACAACAACTTCGGGCTTTAGATGATAGTAAGTAACACTACTCTGTTAGTTTACACATGCATTTCTTAGTCTACTATTTTGTGCTACCGAAATAGTCAAGCTAACAACTATTGTACTTTTTTCTATATTGTAGAACAACGTCCTTGTTCAGAATGGAGACGTACCAATGCATCTTGCGTTCAACATACTGGGTATGACGTCGAATAACTACAAGAATTATATTCTATGTGTGAAGAACCACTTATAAATTATTGCTCCCATAAGAGCTACCGACTTACAAACAGTGGTGCTACCTCTTATTTATCTCCTATGAATATGCTTGTCGTTACACTATGATACTTGAAACATTATCATTCTGAACGATATATTTCTTCAGAACTGAATTTAAGTCAACCAGCAGTGAATTATTTATTGTCAACAGTTGTGGATATTTTACATTCGTGTGTATATCCAGAATTAATTTCAATACCTACTAATCTATCTAGTAGTAAAACACCACACGGACCTCAACAACACCATAAACTAATAGTCGATTCGACTTTTATTGCAATTCCTGAACCCTATGATTCAGAGAAACGTAAAGTGTATTATCATGCGAAAAGTTCAACAAATTATGCATTGAAAGTTCAAATAGCTTGCGATTTTCGTCATCGAATAGTACACGTATCAGAATGTTATCGTGGGAGTGTACATGATATTACAATTCTAAGAGAATCAGAACTATTAGAACATGTAAACGACGCCGTTCAAATTATTGGTGACAAAGGATACATTGGTGAAGAATACGTGGTGACTCCTAGAAAGAAGTCTCGTGGACGTGAATTAACAGATAAAGATAAGGATTTCAATCATGACATTGATAGTGCAAGAGCAGCTATTGAAAATATTAATTAACGTCTGAAAACATATGCAATTCTTGGTGGTGTCTACAGAGGAGCTATTGATGATTTTTATAAGGCAACAAAAATCGGGTGTGGGGTGTGGGTGTGAATGATAATAGTAGCACCTACACTCTCACCCACACTCACACCCGCACCCCACACCCACACCCCAAATTCTAACACAGGATGCAGCGTTAAAAGCTCTATAATATCCGTAAGATCGCTTATTTTATAGTTGCAGCTTTTGTTTTCAAAATTGAACTATGCGAAATTCGGTCACAGCGAATTTTTCTTTTTTTGAAAACAACTACAATAAGGTTTGGTATGTAAATTGCAGAGCTTTTCACGCTGTATCTAGTAGTATATCTAAATAAAAGACATCAGATGATAAAAAGATGAAATAAGAAAAAGCGAATTCATCTTTTACAAAATAAATATTGTTTTCGCATGGCTAAAAATTGATTATTCAGTCGATTTCGAAAAAATAAAGTGTAGCTAGAAAAAATGGTCTCATGTAAAATGTAGAGCTTTGTGTATTTTACTCTTTTTTAAATAGAAAATATTAGATGATGAATAAGAGAAAAACGCATTGGTTATGTATTGGAAGAAGACTTTCGCAGCGTCGAAATCTGGCCGCTCAAAGCTTCGACCACTTCGAAAGCAAAAGATGCAATTATAAAAGCGGTCTTACGTAGATTGTATAGCTTTTCAAGCTGCAAATTTGTTTTTAAATGAAAGATATTCAGAGATGAAAAGATAAAACAAATTCATCTTGTACCACAGAAAAATATTGTTTTTGAAAGTTTAAAATTTGATTGCCCTAAATTTTGTTTATTTTGAAAACAAAAACTGCAAGTATAAAATAAGCGGTATTACGAATATTGTAGAGCTTTTCACGCTGTATCTTCTGGTAGAGTTTATTGAAAAAAGTTCACAGAACTTTTTCTATTTATATTGATATAGAAAATGTTGCGGACTTTTTTTCCACCCCTTAGTTCCTGGGTTTTATTGAGTTTTTTAATATTTAGGTTAATATAATAATAATAATAATCTCCCATAGGCTTATCGCCCGTAGGGGCCAGCTGTGATTATTATTAGGGCCCACATGCAGCCAGTTTCTATTGTCTTTTTCTTTTTACAGACGATGATATCTGCACCCTTCCCGTCTAACGTACTGACTAACGATATATTCAGCACGCTACGAATGAATCGAAATAACTTAGCCGTTAGCGACTTGTCCAGGGTCATTCTGTAGGTGATGACACTGAGGTTTGAACACAGTACCTTGTGGGTACGTGTCGAACAACGTAACCACTCAACAATGGCGGCTTCATCTATTTTATATTAGTTTAATGAGGCTAAAAACCATATGTGAATTGCACATTTAAGCCCCAAAGGAGCTGTGCTAAACAAGCTTTTTTTTACAGTTGATTTATCTTCTAGTTATATTTTATTTTAAATATTTGATCTTAATATTAATGCAAGGCCTAATTGTACAACGTAGCATTTGACTCATGTCTAGGTAATATAGAATTCGATCTAAAATTAGTGCTTGATACTCATCAATATATCAGTTCTATTATCTATCATAAATTACTATTTTAATAATATATCACCTGATCATATGAACGACATGTATAGAAACTTTTAAAAGAAACTTCAAAAACATTATCTTTGCAAATTGTGCTTCCATTTATCCTACTTTCCAATCTACAGTAATTTCGAACAATTCTCCTCTCTGTGTCGTAAAAACGAATTGAACTTAACTTTTGTCAAACATTGGCTCCTACACTTTATTGTTCATTTTTTTGCATTTTTAAAGCTTTGCTCTCCTAGTTTGTGTTTCTTATTTGTGCTTACTTTTGCAGAAATTTGATGAGTGTTTTAATAATTAAATAAATAACACGAAACGCGCCGACAAACTGAACTCTGCATTTCGTTCATTATTTTAATCAATGCACATTTATCCAATATTCTCTTGTCATTTAATTTTCGACTTACGAGGGAACCGCTCCAGCTATCTCCTCGGATTTCAATGAATTTTTGTCCATATATAGAAACTGCGCAGTGTCCTAATAAAAAACCTAAAAGGATTTGGGTGCATATTGGAATTTGATCAAGCTATCGAATTTTTAATATGCCTATTTTCCAGAGACTTCTGCAGGATTCCACGTATTCAAAAAAAACGAGTCTTCGAACTTTGATTTGAAACTTTATACATTTAGAGAGCTTAGTTATACTAGCTTCGATAAAAAAATTTAGACGTTTCGAACAAAGTCTCTTCGAGATATGAGAATTCCAAGATATAGACCCTCTTCCACAGATAGTATATAGAGCATGAATTTTTTGAAATATGAATATCTTGAAAAGACTTTGTTTGAAACGTCTAAATCTTCTTATGAAAGCTAGTATAGTTAGGGTCTATAAGTGCGCAAAGTTCCAGGTCAAAATTCTAAGATTCGATATTTCCGAAAACCTGGAATCCTACAGGAGCCTCTGAAAAATAGACACATCAAAAATTCGATAGCTTGACCAAATCTCGATATGGACCCGAATCCTTTTAGGGTTTTAATAGGACACTATGTAGTATCTATAAACAAGAATTCATTGAAATCCGAGGAGCACACCTGGTGAGGCTCTCTTGTTAATTGATTGCTGAAAAGCAAAAATTGAGACTGGCAGATTGAACTTGTCTTTTCGTGAAGAGATAAACTGATCTGTTTTTTCAATTGGCCTAAGTACATTCCTTATCTACTGAGTAGCACTCATACATAGAAATATGTCCGATTTGAGAAAAGTTTATATTCATTGGAGACTACAACATTTCATAGTAAATATGTATGAAATATTTTTCACATTGTTCTGAACGCAATAGAGATATGTTAGGAATGATTTGATTCATCATTTTTATTGACTTTGGATGGAGGCATATCATAGTTGCCCATATTCTGTTTCTTTTCGTCATAATAACCCAATCGATCAGACTTGATGCCTAGAAGTAGGTCGCGACACTCGGCCAATTCATTAATAGCCATTGTGAGACGATCGACTATTTGCTTGCGTGTTGGCCATGGATGACCACCGACGGCTAGATCAAGCATTTGGGCGTTTGCACGCCATGTCTTATGCATAGCAAATTCCAAATCGGCTGTAATCTCATTACGAAATGTATCATATCGGGTACATTCTTCTGCAAATGGATTCGTTGATATGTAAGAATTAACAACAGTGAAACGAAGCTCTGAACAAGATTGAATGCCTGTGACTCGATGTGCCATGTGGCTACCTAAACACCTAAGTGGTAGTTTTTGTGAATGGACGTCCTTCTGAACACTTACCTTGCATGAACACACATGAATTCGGACCAAGATAGTTGATTGGTCGAATCAAATCTTTCGGCACTTGACCCTTGTATTCTTCGATAAGACGAAATGCTTCTTTGGGTTCACGTTCGATAAGCTGCAGTTCGCCGCCGATCGTTTGACTCATATCGCAGGCCAGCAGAAT